ATAGGGGTGGAAGGGGGGATTCTTCAAAATGAAGATGGCTGTTATATGGAACTTAGGGTATTTATAGTGGCTTAGGAATCGACTGATTGGTGAATCATAAATTGAATAATGCGAGACCAGCCGCAAGCAATCATAAGCACTTGATCCTCTCGAAATTAGTTTATAAATAAACTTCACTACATATATAGAAATAAGTCTGTAAAATAACAGACAAAATAATCACCAGTATCACGGTTAATAATAACACCAAATACAGACAATACGTTTCAGTGTTTCTGCAGGTTTCACCAAGTCAAATTGAAGACTTTTTAAGACCTTTTTAAAATTATGAATGATATTTCAGACTTACATACTTGCTAACAGCGAACTGCTAAGGATTTTTTTTGTAATGACCCGTGGATTATTTTATACTTGCCCCATTAAAAATTTAAATTTGGTTATATCTTAGCCACATATTTTAAATAATGTGTCAAAACATATATATATTTAATATATCAATATATAAACTTTATATTAAAAAATGTTGAATGCTGAGAGAAAATTTTGCAATAATGCTTTATTTTAATCAGTTTAATCAGAGCATTGAGGAAAATCAGTGGTACATATTTTAGTGTTTTGTTCTCAGTATGTTAATGACTATTCTTGCTAGAAATCTCTCAAAATATTAAATATATTTAATTATAAATGTGTTATTACTTGTTTCAAAATTCTTACAGAACAAAATGTTCTTTTAAAAAAGCTGAACCGTCAGATAAAGCAATATTTTCTGAATTTATAGGGAATGTTTACTCTTTAATGTTTGATTATATACATTTTGTATATATACAGTACTCAGCATATATAAGTACACCCCTCACAAATCTATCTTTGAAATTCATATTTTTAATAGGAAGCTAAACAATATTAGTTTTGTGTATATACATTAGATTAGTCAGTGCTGAAGCCAAATCTGGAGCTTTTCTAACAAAATAACTTACGATAACAGTCCAAAAACTACTACACCCAAATTTATATATTAAGAACAATATTAAATACAAATTTAAAAAAAGAGGAAAAATCAAGAAAAATTTTTTGAATAATTTTGTTGAGGTTTGGTAGGTTGTAACTTTTTTTGCAATATTTTGCTTGAATTTATTTATATTATCTTTCAATTTTTAAATCTGTTAATTCATTCATTCAATTTTCAGCTTAGTCTCTTTATTAATCCGGGGTCACCACAATGGTATGAAGCGCCAACTTATCCAGCACATGTTTTACGCAGTGGATACCCTTCCAGCTGCAACCCATCTCTGGGAAACATCCATACACACTCATTCACACTCATACACTACGGGCAATTTAGCCTACCCAATTCACCTGTAATGCATGTCTTTGGACTGTGGGGGAAACCAGAGCACCCGGCGAAAACCCATGCTAACCAAACTGGTCCAATGGTAATTTACCATACTGGTGTTTTAAAGAGAGCTCAGGGTATTCTATGCCCCACAGATCACCCGTTGTACTCTGTGTTTCAGCTGTTGCCATCAGGACGTCGTTTTAGAGTTCCTATTTGCAGGACAAATAGAGTTAGAAATTCTTTTAGAATGGCGGCCATTAGGTTGTTAAATGAGTCCAGGGGGGAGGAAGATGCACCAACAACATGATGTATTGTATGTTGTGGGGTACTATTTTATTAATGTGAACTTGGAACTTCGCCTGTGTTACGGCACCTTGCTGCAATTTTAGCTTCCCTAAACGGGATAATAAAGTTGAGTCTGAGTCTGACCCAGCGGACACTCTGTATCACTTTAAACTATTAAAATAATCAATAATAGTCACTTTTTTCAACTTTTCATAGTCAAAAGTTCTTGAAGGAAAGATCAAGGACATATTATGCAATTCAAATGCATAAATAAATGAAAAATAGAATTAAACTGTTAATTTACGGACATTTTAGCTTTTAAAAGGCTTTGAAAGAAAGCATTTTTAGGTTAAAAACATTCAAGGATTCATTAAAAGTCCACATATATTCAATAAATAAATTAAGCACAAAAAGTTGAAACTTGATTATGTAGTGTGTAAACTAAAAATCAATAAATTGCCAGTCATTAAACATGAAAAAGACAAAAAATAAAGGTTATTTCACTAGGCATGTGTAACATAATGTGAATCCACTGTCAGCTAGGAATATTTTCAGCATAACTGTGATATATAAAACTGCTGTACATCACCTTCGGCTCTTCTTTCTCCCGGTATTTTGGTTTGTTTAGTTTCAAGTCACCAATAAACAGCAGCGATGACATCCTGTGCCGTGTGGCGCCACTTAAAAATACGCTGCGGACGCAACCATCCCAAATATCAAATTTGGGCCTGCCAACAGAATGACATCATTTATGTATCATTTCCACACATTTTTATAATGGGCCCTATGAAACATTTATAAATATCACTTCAGCTGTTCTAGAGGACACATCGCCCGTCATTTCTGCTGACGTCCATAAGTTGGTGCAAACATTTAAGAAACAATTGTTTAACTTTCAGCTTAAATTCTATTCATATATAATATTTTAAAATATGGGCTGTTTTTAAGATGATTAGCATGTTTTAGGCATGGGTGTTATTTGGAATGGAACACTAGTCTACTGCTTGCTGTATAGTGTCCAATAAATTCTATCTGCTGTTTTTTATAAATATTACATTAAATGCCTGACAAAAGTCCTGACGTCCTGAAGTTTTGGGAACAACAAAAAAATTACTTTACTTCTAGTAGATCATTTGGTATCAGAAGTGGGTTATATGAAATGCAAAGGCCACTAGATTACGCTTATTTTACCAAAATTAAATATGATCATGCCTTGATTTTTTAATTAATTAATTCGGACAGTAAGCTCTGACTTTGCTAAGATAAAACCGATATAATGTACAGAATATAAAGTCATGCAGTTCTTGCAGGACTCACAGAGTTCATCAAGACTCTTTGGATTCATCTTCAATGCCTCCTTCATTTTACCCCAGACATGCTCAATAATGATCATGTCAGGGGAGTGGGCTGGCCAATCCTAGTGCACCTTGCCCTTCTTTGCTTTCAGGAACTTTGATGTGGAGGCTGAAGTATGAGAAGGAGCGCTATCCTGCTGAAGAATTTGCCCTCTCCTGTGGTTTTTAATGTAATGGGCAGCACAAATGTCTTGATACCTCAGGCTGTTGATGTTGCCATGCACTCTGCAGATCTCTTGCACGCCCCCACACTAAATGTAACCCTAAACCATGATTTTTCCATCACCAAACTTGGCTAATATCTGTGAGAATCTTGGGTCCATGCGGGTTCCAATATGTCTTCTGCAGTATTTGTGATGATTGGGATGCAGTTCAACAGATGATTCATCAGAAAAATCGACCTTCTGCCACTTTTCCAAATGATCACCTACATAGTCACTTACCTAGTCAAGTTATTATTTGTTTCTCCTAAAACTGAGATTGACGACAAGACTTTGGTAGTGTACATGTTTGTGTTTAGTCCTGCAAATGAAAAAGTAGTTTAACATTTATAAACCAGATTTTGTATAACGTTTTTTTTTATAAAGAAATGATTAGGCCTGCTGTGAAATTTGTATTCTTTCTCAAACATATATATATATATATATATATATATAATATAATTTGTTTATTTCCTATAATATTTTCTTCATACGAATTTGCATTAATATGGAGACCCTAAAGTGACGTGCAAAAATAATAATAATAATAGAAAAAGACTTAATTTTATTTTTTTTGCGCGTCACTTTAGGGAGTGTATATTTCTTTCAGTCTGACTGAAATAAAAGCAGCTTTTAAATTAATTTTGGGGGTGAATATTATTAGCCCCCTTAATAAATTATTTGCCCCTAATTGGCTACAGAACAAACCACTTTTGTCCAATGACTTGCTAGTTAACATGATTAACCTTGTTAAGCTTTTAAATTGAACTTTAAGCTGAATACTAGTATCTTGCAAAATAACTAGTAAAATATGATCTCCTGTCATCATGGCACATATAAAAGAAATTACTTATTAGAAATTTGTTATTAAAACTATTATGGTAAAAAATATGTTATTTAAAAATGTGTTAAATAAAAATTTCACAGTAGGACTAATGATTTTGCCTTCAACTGTAAATGTTAAAAAAATAAAATCAAGTTATTTTTAATGTGACAATATTTTAATTTACAAATTAGATCTTAAAAATATATTTTGCCTTATGCTGAGTTTGGACTGCATGATTTTCAAACTAGTCGTGACACAGATGTTTTCACACTGCCTGACTATCTGGGTTAGCGCTCTGCCGGTGCTGTGTTTACACTGTAGGATGGATCGGCAACAGGGTATTTCACACTGTATGATCTTAAAATAGGAAGAATCGCCAACAACTTTGTCCAAACTACGCCTCACAACCAAACAAACGTGAAAAGTGACATGGAAACAATGCAAGGTCACATAATATATCTTTCGCTATAAACTACATAATGGTAAAAAAAAAAAGCAGGCTTTAGCTTTAGAGTGGTAGCTACTTATTTCGCTCACCTGACTTTTGAAGAGAATTTACAATGTCACCTCATCTTTTATTACTTTTCAACCTGGTTGTGATATTGCTTAGATGACATGTCAAACAGACACAGTGCTCCTGCCAAATTTCCCCTAGTTTTTCCCTCCATTTCTTGGGTCCAAATAAACTGAAAATGAGCGCTTTAACTTCTCCTTCAACCTCCTGCAGGTCTGCAGAGACCCACACTAGTGAACGCTGCTCTCTCATTAGCGGTAGGTAATCGTTAATTTTATTTCAGTCAAAACTCATTTCATATAGCATGATTTAAATCGCAGACAGCTCCAGATATTTAGCATGCCAAATATCTTCAGGGTGTCAGAGAGTCATCGGCGATTCTCTTAGATTGCGTCTTTAATAGTTCATACTGTGTGATTGTCACTTACGTAAACGAGCACTGATTGCCTGTGATTTCAGGCATTTATAGGTGATTTCTCAAAACTTTTTAACGAGTCAAAATCAAAGCTTTAATTATTCAGTCTGAACTTGGCATTACAGTAATGAGAATTATTTGTTTTGCATTATAACAACATGAATTAGATAGGGAGATGTGCTTTTCCTGTAGTTGTTAAAAAAAGTTTAATTAATAATTCAAAAATGTAAATAATAATAATAATGCAATTGTTGCCTGTATAATTAAATAGGTTCTTCACATATATATGAAGTCATTTATCATAATGTCAATAGAATTTCCAGTTGTGTGCGCAACATTGTGGGATGCATAATTCCTCACGATCGCTGCTCTAATATAACCCATTTCGCTGTATTTCTCATTTATAAGTTGCTTCGAATATAAAGTAGCATTTTATATAGCTATCTACTTAGGATAATAAACAATAAGAGCAGTATAATAGCATACCATTGCAAACACAGCCATGTATGATATATATGTGTTGATTGTAAAGTAATTTTGACATTTTCTCTGGACTTCTTTGCAAGCACAATGGCTAACATTTAAAAGCGCTTTGCGTTCATGATCTAAAATCTAAAAAGTGCTATGATTGAAGTGCATTAAACCAAATAAAAGACTAAAATGACTTAATCTGAAATGGCATTTCCAGCTGAACGTCCATGATACACTTCCGGTGGGTGTTTCTCACAGGTAGGGGTACTGGTTGAGTTTCCTCTGGCTGAGGGGGAACGCTGCCGACCGCTGGTACGACTGTGCTGACAGCTGCTGCTGATACGGGGCTGAAGCGTGGCACATGACGCCCATGGCACTGTTTTTCTGCAGGAGACTCAGGGAGGCTGAGTATGGGCCGGCGGTGCGTGTGTGTCTGCTGGACGAGGTGGAGCTGGAGTTGTGCAGCTGATCCACTGCCTGAGAGACTGAGGCCAGAGCTGCTGATGCCGGATATGCATACAGACTGGAGGCGGAGCCGAAAAGCGACGCTTCATGAAGCCTGTAGGAGTGGGAGGGGCCTGTTGGTGGGTAGGTGGGCTGTCGTCTCAGAGGTCCGCCCATAGACTGCTGTGCCTGGAGAATGAGGCATTAAGTGTGTAAAGATGTATCAAAAGTTTTAAATTGCAAAGTAGGGCTGCAAAAATATTGGAAAAAATTGACATTTTATTTTTTTTCTAATATACACTGTGATATACTCTCACTGGCCACTTTATTAGGTACATGTGTCTAGTACCGGGTTGGACCTTTTACCTTTAGAACCTTAATCCTTCGGCATTGATTCTACAAGGTACTGAAAATATTCCTCCGAGATTTTGGTCCATATTGACATGATAGTCAAAGTGGGCGGTGAGTGCAAATACAATTTTACCAGATGACTTCAATAGCTCTATTTGGAATTAAATAATTAATTTAGACTGATTGTGATGATTTTGTAGGGGAAAGAATCTTGCCAATTCAATATAACAAGCAAATTAAAAGTAAGCAATGGTTAGGGTTAGGATTAAAAGTATACATAAATATAATAGAGCAAAGATTAAAGTGAAATAAACAGTGCTTTAGGGTTTTCTGGAGAGTCTAAAAGTATTCAGATACAAAAACTTAACAATTTTAAAATCACACTGTACCGTTTATGGCATAGATAAAACAGTAAAGTATCTTGTGCCTGAATGCCTACAGTAACATGCCTTAAAAACACAGACAGATGATAAACTTTCAGTACATTATGGTTAAACTCTGCAGTGACTCCACAAAGTATACTACAATCCCAGCATATACACCCAACATTGCAGAACCTGCGATGACTATTGTGAATGTGCACATTGTGATATCGATACTATAACGATACGTTGTGCAGCTCGGAGGAAACCTACACCAACACGGTAAGAACATAGAAACTTCACACAGAAATGCCAACTGACCCAGCTGGGGCACGAACCAGCAACCCTCTTGCTGTGAGGCGACAGTCCTAACCACTGCGCCACTGTGTTGCCTACTTCTCTGTTTTTACTATGTATAATAAACTTAAAAATGTCAAAATAAACTTTTAACAAAAAAATCGCAAAACTTGAATTTTTTGATATTTGAAAATCGGGTTAGTGGTGATGGTAAAACATTGGCATTGTGCTTAGAGCTGGGTATTGTATTGTCCAATAAGATACTAATACCGATACTTTGAATTCGATACCAGTTCCTAAAGGATATTTTCTTGCTACCAATTTAATGAAATAAGCTTTAAAAAGATTACATTTGTGAGTTTTTTCAAAGTCAAACTCACAAAGTAACAAAATGTAACCAAACAATAAATAAGTCCAAATACAGTAATGTGGTAGCGAATGACAAGACATTCTTTGATACTCTAGGCAATTTAGTCAAACTCAATGGCCAGCACTAATTATGTTGAATTATGCAAGTATATTGTAATATTTATATAAAAAAACATGAAACTGACCTTAAAGTTGATCTCAGAGCTAACAGACTTTGACTAAAAGCCACCAATTATCTTTAATATGGTACCTGGCTCAGGTTGAGAGGCTGAGATCTGTTTGATGCTGCTCTCTGATGCCGGTCGCTGGACTGGGAGGCCATTCCTTTCTTTGATTTTCCAGAACTGTTAGTACTTTGCTCTAGAAGAACAGCAAAAATACATTAAAGGATAACAGTTTCACAAACATGAAATGACAATCATGTCATCATTACTTGTATATGCCAATAAATGTCCGTCCTGCCATCTATCTATCTATCTATCTATCTATCTATCTATCTATCTATCTATCTATCTATCTATCTATCTATCTATCTATCTATCTGTCTGTCTGTCTGTCTGTCTGTCTGTCTGTCTGTCTGTCTGTCTGTCTGTCTGTCTGTCTGTCTGTCTGTCTGTCTGTCTGTCTGTCTGTCTGTCTGTCTGTCAGTCAGTCAGTCAGTCAGTCAGTCAGTCATAATAAGCCTTAAAAAATACTAAATATGCTCATTTGGAGCTGTTTCGTTGTAAATAAACAGTTAAATGGTCAGTAATATGTTTTATTTTTATTTACAAAAGAAAAAATAAATAGTATACATTAGCAGCAAACACATTAGCAAACAGTTCAGCTTATTAAAATGAATAGCTATTATAATGAAATAGAATCAAGCTATCAAACCTCATTAGCCATTTCTTCACTGTATAACGTATACATTCTGATTAAAGAGCAACAAATGAATGATTTATTTAGATTTTTTTAGTTCGATTACATTAAATAGCAGGTATCACTTTAAAAATGCACACATCTAACATTATAATAAAAGCATTCGTCTGCTTTCCTAACTGTTTATGCTCATTTAGGACAAAATTACTTGTGTTTGAAAAAAAAACCCCCACCAATTTATTTCAAAATGTTTCTATGCCTAAACAAAGCAAATGTACAGACTCGCATTTAAGAGCAAGGGGCGGTCCCTGGTGGTTCGGCGGTTAGGGTTGTGTATAGGGAGGCTTGACTCTTAAATGTTTGTTTGCCACCCTTCAGAGAAAGACTGAAAATATGGGAGAAATACGTGAAAATATCTTTACGGGATCACAGCGAGATAAAACTGTAACATATGGGAGGGTTGACAGGTATGCATAAAGGTCTGGAAAAAGTCAAGGGTAAGTAAATTATGGCAGAATTTTAATTTTCGGGTGAACTATGCCCTTGAGGCCCTGATATACTTAAACCAAATTTCTGTTTTGTTCTTTGTTTTGTTTGAGGCTGCAGACTGCAGAAACCAAATTTGTTTTTCCAGATTTTGTTCCGAATGATGTTATTTAAATTTGTTCTTTGATTTGATTGGGCCTTTAATACTGGATCTCTTACACACCAAATACAAAAAAGGAGGGAAATAGCATATCAGTATATTGGATCTGTAAAACAGACTCATTTGGACATGAGGAAAACATGTTACTAATGCAACTGAACCGGGCCCGTGGCTCTTTGAGGATTGCAATTGCTTAATCCTTGTTTGCTGTTGGGGATGTTTTCATGCATTCTAGGGTGATTAAGGTCTTAATTTGGCCACAACTTTCTGTGTTTCAGCAAATGGAATGACTTTTGGTGACAACCTTTATTTTGACATTTATTTCAGGAAAATGCTTTGAAAGTTCAAAAACTCAACAATACACTACCCTAAGGGTAAATTTACGTGACTTGTTTTTGCCCCATTGACATCCTTTAAAAAAATGTATCATGCAATTATCATGCATTCTTGATTGTTGGTGGTTTTCTCTATTAGGAAGAGTAAAATTAGCCATTTTTACTGTTGATTAACAATAGTTTCTGGCAATTATTTGAAGTGTATGTTCATGTATGAGAGAGATCTTTGCACACTTACTTTGATATGTCTGAGAAAATCAAAACAAGCAGCTCAGCTTTTTTTTTTTACTCTATAGACTTCAATATAAAAGCCAGACACTTTTTTTTACACAGGCTTATCTAAATGTTTAATGCCGTCAACTGATGATCAACACTAAAAATGAGAACCACCTACAATCAAAACTGCATGATTGTATGGTGTCATGGCTTATTAATCAAAAAAATGTCATTACAGTTTTTCTCATTGGCTTTGGTACATTTCGACAACACTATTTACTTTTGCACAACAGTTAATGCATTTCTCAAAACAACTAGTCATTTGTGCACATCATATTAGCAGTTTCTAATTCCCTCAAACAAATTGCAAATGCTTGTGGACATGCATCAATTGCTTTCATACAACTCTCTGCTATTTAATAACATTATCAGTTGCGTATGTCATGTCAGCCAAAATTAACCAAACTTGTGAACGCTTAATAGTCATTCCATATAGAACTAGCATGGCTTCCAGCTAACTCTATAAAGCCTCTTCAGCTGCTCCAGAACGCAGCAGCACGAGTGGTCTTTAATGAACCTAAAAGAGCACATGTCACTACACTGCTCATCCGTTTGCACTGGCTGCCAGTTGCTGCTCGCATCAAATTCAAAGCTCTGATGTTTGCTTACAAAGCTACTTCTGGCTTTGCTCCTTCTTATCTGCTCTCACTTCTGCAGATCTATGTGCCCTCCAGAAACTTGCGTTCTGTGAATAAACATCACCTCGTGGTTCCATCCCAAAGAGGGAAGAAATCACTTTCCCGAACGCTCGCGTTCAATATGCCCAGTTGGTGGAAAGAACTCCCTAACTGCATCAGAACGGCAGAGTCACTCGCTGTTTTCAAGAAACGACTAAAACTCAACTATTTAGTCTCTACTTCACTTCCTAATCAGCAATTGCCTCTCTGGATATACCACTAACTGTACTCAAAAAAAAGTACTAATACTTTCCTTCTTAGACTTTACAGACCTGAAACTTGCCTATAGCACTTATTCATTGTTGCTCTTATAGTTGTGTAAGTTTCTTCCTTGTCCTCATTTGTAAGTCGCTTTGGATAAAAGTGTCTACTAAATGACTAAATGTAAATGTAAATGTAAAAGTCCTCATTCATTACTCGAATCATTACATACAAAAATTATGAACTAGTTGTCAAAATATGTCAAGCTAATTTGACAAAACATTTTTTTTTCCTAAAAATGTCTTCTAAATTGAACAACTTCATGAATGATTTACAGACCTGTGTATGTTGTAGGTTCAGTTCCAATATGTACTGCAATATTGTTTACAATTGTGCAAATAGTATTTAGTGCTGTCTTGAGCATTTTCAGAAAGTGTCACCAAAATCTGAATGTTTTGCATTGGAAAAAATTTACAGAGTAAACGGTCATAATAAAAATATGACCATAATGAAAACAAAGCCATTTGACTATCTTGTACATAAACAATGGTGACAGGACTTTATCTTGATGACACTGACACTTTCATTGATGCGAATACTTGCTTTTGAGTAATGAGCTATCCATTTTGAGCAAGTGACATGCTTTAGCAGTTGAGAAATGCATTAACTGTTGTGCAAATGTAAATGGTGTTGTGAGAAATGCACCGAAGCCACCGAGAAAAACTGTAAAATAGAAGTCAATGGGACAAAAACAGCCAACAACATGATGAAAGAGTTGTAAAATTGAACATTTCACAAGAGTGAAAAACCAATAATGTGTTCCTTAATGTTATTACAATAATGTCTTTACTGAAACTGTGCAGAATGTGGTGCCTTTAACTATTAAAAACCCAATATTCAGAACTGCTAGGCAACACTGTGGCTCAGTGGTTAGCATTGTTGCCTTACAGGAAGAACGTCGCTGGTTTGAGTCTTGGTTGGGTCAACTGAAATTTCTGTGTGGAGTTTGCATGTTCTGCCCGTGTTCGTATTTCCTCCGAGTGCTCCGGTTTCCCCCACAGCCCAAAGACATGCGCTGTAGGTGAATTGGGTAAACTAAATTGGCCGTAGTGTATGAGTGTGTGAATGAGTGTGTATGGGTGTTTCCCAGTACTGGGTTGCGGCTGGAAGGAAATTCGCTGTGTAAAACATATGCTGGAAAAGTTGGCGGTTCATTACGTTGTGGTGATCCCAGATGAATAAAGGACTAAGCCGAAGGAAAATGAATGAATTAATGTTCAGAATTTCATACAAACCTCCTGACGCCGCATCCCAGAGCTGTGTTTTGACTGAGGGAGTCACCACGGCCAGAGACTTGGAGTGCGTGTTGTTCTCGATAAAGCTGGATTGGCGTTTGGGGCTAATAGGGGTGCTGGTGGAGGAGTCAGAGTCCTGCGAGTCATGGACAGTCACACAGCTGATGACGTTTGTGCGCTGGTTCACACTGCAGCTGACATTCAGGACAAGAAAGATCCATTAAAGTCTGAGTAAAAAATCTCCAGGCTGTTCGTTTCAATACAAAATAGAGATTTATTTCTGATTCATAATAACTGTTCTATTTGATTACAATATAAAATGTAATTTATTACTGTGATTTAAAAATGAATGTCCAGCATCATTGCAGTCAGAATCACTCGATCTTTCAGAAATCATTTTAATTTGCTGATTTATTGCTGAAGAAACATTTTATAATATTTCAAAATTTTTTTAGCAATGTTAAAACAGTTATTGTTTGATATTTTTGAGGAAACTATGATATTTTTTCCCCCCAGAATTCTTTGATGAATAGAATATAATAGGTTTCTTTTGAAAAGACAAATGTCTTTACTTTTATCTCCTATGTCTTTGCTGAAAGTATTACTTTCTTAAAGAATATATGACTGACCCAAAATATTTAATCATATTTTAGTTATTAGTTTTTGTTTCAATATGAGTATTGTTGTGATCTGTGTTGTGCCATTTAAAAATATATATACACATACAGTTAGAGTCAGATTTATTTGCCCCCTTTGAATTTTATTTTCTTTTTTAAATATTTCCACAATTATGTTTAACAGAGCAAGGACATTTTCACAGTATGTCTGATAATATTTTTTCTTCTGGAGAAAGTCTTATTTGTTTTATTTCAGCAATAATAAAATCAGTTTTTAATTATTTTTTAACTATTTTAATTTGTTTTAATTATTAGCCTTTTTTTGATAGTCTACATGTAAATGTCACTTTAAGCTGTATAGAAGTGTCTTGAAAATTTTCTAGTAAAATATTATTTATTAATAAAATTAAAATATAAGTTATTAAACTATTATGTTTAGAAATATAATAATATATATATCGCTATTTTCTGGAAATGAATGCTGTCAATGGCAATATTGTTGTTTAAAATTTCGGGAGAAAAAAGCCCCACACATACATATTTGTTTTGAAGGATTATGAGGATTCTCCATTGCCGTAATGTATTTTATAGCTTAATAAAGCTTAGTATATTGCCTTACCCTAAGCCTAACCTTAAAGCCAACCCTCATGGTTGCATATATTGCATACATTGAATGTCAAAAGTGTCCAATAATTATGGTTTTTGAATTTTTTTGAGTGATTACAAGGACAAAGGCCATATCCTCAGAAACCACCTCAACATTCAAATACCTAGGTCTTACCCATGTCATTATACAAAGTGGAAACCACCTAAAACCGATCCAAACACACACAATACAGAATGTCTGCTTGGATGTATCACTGATCTCACCTCTCAGGAGGAATCTTCCTGTCGTCCTCGTCCTCGGTGTCGCTGTGGATGGTGATGATGCTGACGGCAGGACTGGGAGTGTCAGAGATGATGATTGGCTGGGAAGCATCACCGCAGCCGTGTGCTGCAGCAGATGCCTGCTGCTGAGAGGACGTGGGTCTGGAAGATTAAAGGAAGAATGCAGATTTTAATTGAGTAGACAAGGCAACATCATGAACTGCTCCTATTATGCTTTTTCAAATATTGGCTTTCATGTAGCGTCTGCACAGCTTCAAAAGATCAAAGTTGATGATGAATGGAATTACTGGCCATCAAAAACAACACAGATTCAGAAATGAGTCAGCAATTCATTTGTTTTTACAGCAAAAACCTATGTTGGAGAAAAGGAATTTATTTTTATTACTTTTGTATTTTTTTATTAGAAAAATGTTTAGACTAACAACAGATTAATCAATCTTTCTCTTTTGTATTATAAAACATGTTGACCAGACACACTTCCTCTTTTTTACTGTGCTGCATACTTTTTAGAAGAACTGCTGACTAGTGGAAAAAGCAGAATAAGAATAAATTTAGGTTTGTTCTAGACTGCTGTCTAGACCTGTCACAAGTTGTCATGATGCTTGTAGAAGTGTGAAATATATTAAAGATGCACGTAATTTTTCAGTTTTGGTATGCAAAGAAGGGTTGCAGAAAGAGGAAGTATGTCGAAGGTGCGGCCAATGGAGGACTGAACAATGACTGACAAGTGACGTTACACCAAAACTCCACCTGTTAAGATCGGTTGTGTATATATACTGAAGTCAGGAAATGTATGTTAGTTGCGAACCTCTTGAATGTAATTCCTGTATTGCATTGGGGTAACGTAACCAAGAGCTCTGTCATCGAATTATTCATTTGTATCCAATAAATTGTTACGATTTTTGACATTGAAGAAAAACCTCTCCTGACCTTTTCTCTTGAACACGCATGGAATTGGCTAGAAATTCCAACACCTATATTTATAACAATATTCAATGGCATGAACAATCTACTCTGGCCTATAAACAGTGTAGTTTGTGTTGTCATGTGTTTTGTACACTGTGAAAACAAATCTACTTTACATACAAGATTGAGGACTCTTGCTTGAACTTATGGCCAATGCCATTGTAACAGTTTGCATCTCTGAATTTCCTCATATGGTAATGGGTTTCCCACATGCACTGTAACTGTGCGTTCACACCGAAGGCAGCGAGAGCGTCAAAGGTCGCTCTTGCCGCCCTGGTAACAACGCTGTCTGCCTTCAGCCCTGGCGGCGAGAGCGTCAAAATTTGCTACATTGATCTCGTATTTAAAGGGGCCGTTGTAGCATATCAGTTACATTCCTGGATAAAACATGCTTTCTAGCATGAAAATGTTGCACGCTTCTTATCAAATTCATTTAACAATGCAATATCAAGTTGCATGTGGTGTGGCTTTGTGTCCACATGTCTGAAAAATCCTAAAGCAGCAAAACTGTTTTGTCGCATGAGATTCTCGCTTATTAGTAACTTGCCAGTAACTTATTTAATGCCTGTTTCTGTAAGAAAACATTGTTAATAGTTGGAAATCTGGTGACCGCAATAATCAAACACTTGGGAACAACTGTGGTTGGAACCAAAGTTCACAGGTCAGTGTTCTCTGAACCTGTCTCAAGCGGTGGACTTTTTCATTTTGATTGCTTGCCGCCGAACAGCTTCATAGCTCATTACCATAAAGTTGACTTGATTTCAACTCTCCTTGATGCCCACACTGGTGAAGATGCGCCACGCTGCTCTTCGCCGCTGGCTCTCATTAAAAATGAATGACATCCGGCTACTTTGATGCTTTTGGTGTGAATGTACAGTAAGTGGTTGACCGATCAAAACAAACTGGGCCATTCATCTTACCAATCAGAGCAGAGTTTGTTCTCGAAGAGGTGGGATTTAGAGAAATCAGATCCTTGAACCAACTATTTCAGACACTGTTTATCATTTTGCTGTTCCCCATTAATGAATTAAGAGAGTAACCTAATGTATCCTCTTATACTGTAAATTAACTGGATACAATGAGCTGTTTTTATGTAATGTAATTAGGCATAGGTTTGTAAGCTGAGAAAATATGATATATATTTCCTTCTATGCTAATGAAGGACTACTGAGACATTCCAAGGATGGGTCCTCCTGGTGAGGCAGAGTTCCTCACAGCTCCGATACACATCTCTGCCATTTGCTTACAGTAACCATGTGCTCTTCACCATACACAATTCATCTGCTTGTGTTCTTCTTTCAGATAACTTTGTCATGTTTGGTGTCATTTGACAGTTTATGACTTCAGTGTTGTAGTGATGAAATCAACAGAGACATCGATTAATTGTGTTTCAATCTACAATATATTTACTATTGTTGGGTCATGGCCTGAGGAGAGTATGTTAATGTACTTCTCCCCCACTTCATCTCTTCAACTTTGTTCTCACGTTCAGCTGGTTTTGGGGGTTGGTTTTCACTTATGTTTGACAATGCTTTGCTCAGGGTATAATAGGGAAAGGTAACTGTTGATCTGGGAGAATGGCTTTTACTCTGCATCTCCCGCACACCGGTGCGTAGCCTCATATGCTAACAAAGGCAGTTTCACTGTCTTTGTTGCTCAGCAGTGCATATGTTACAGCTAATTTCTTTATACAGTATGTTAGTTTGTGTCATTCTAATGTCTGTATATTTGATCATGTAACTTAATAAACAACTTTGCCTGCTTTAAGAAGTAGAGATTTTAATGGAGTCAGATTAATTACAATGGAGTCAGATAAATGATGGATTTAAACACGCCATCCTTCAACTGCTTCCTGTTTCCGATTATTGGTTCAGAATAGCAGCGTAAGCTTCAAGCCTTACAGGTTGATAACCAGTTTCAAGGTTTACAGCGGATTGGAAAAGTCAAGGTTTTGAAAACCACAAAAAAATGATGTTATACCATTCTTAAAGGTGCAGTAGGTGATCTTCCACAATGCTAACAGCTTAGCATAAATCTATGAATCACAGTCCCTCTCCCCTGCCGTCTAGATCCACGCCTTCCTAAACACGAGCACAGCAAAAGAACCCTCTCTCATGTGTTAAAGGCAACTAGTGCTTGCCCGGCGGCGTGCAAGCCAAACTGACATGCTATTTCAGAGCGAATATTTAGAGCTGCATGGTAAACAATATAGGGAAAGACAAGGTGGAATAGCGGTGTTTTGTTGTTAAACTAATTAAAATTTACATTATCGATGCTGTAAAAGGTCCTTTATGAAATTGAAAATAGTCTTATCAATCTTTCATCAGAAGATTTTAGTGGCTGAACAACACTTCTGTGAAGATATAGCCCATTTGTAACAACATCTAACATTACATCAGCTTTGCGTGAAGCTAAAACCGTTTTTAAACAGAACATTACCTGTCTAAGAGAAATCCTTCAGCCATGGTGTCATCCTTTCTCCAGCGTGCAAAGGTAACTCCAATATTGATTCAGGTTTTTAAAAAGTTTTGATTCAGCAGGTTTTTACCGATCGCGCGCGTCCTCTCTCTCCCTCTCTCGTAAACGCGTGGCAGTCGGTGGAGCTGTGTACTAAAGGCTGCGCAGTTGTTCAAATCTGCATTTGCTGACAGAGTTTGTCCTGCTTATCGGAATTATAAGAGATGTCAACCAGACTCTATTTAATTATACAATATAGATACATTTAATTGGATGAACATTTTTTTTGTTTTTATGCCTAACCCAAAATATAAAAATACATATAAATACATTTAGATCATTTACTTTAATCATTACTATTGGAATGTGAAGAGACTTTCAACCAGCACAACAAAAAATGTTTCTGAAGACAATCACCTACTGCACCTTTAAGGTATATGTAAGGTTTTTTATGTGCTGTTAAGAATCTGTGCTAATGAAGATAGCAGAAGTCAATAATCTATTTGAATTATTTTGCCTTACATCTTTATGGTTCCAAAATATTATAAATGTTTCCTAAAATGAAATATATATTTTGTTAAATGGGGGGTGGGGGTGGACATGAAAAAAATAACCTTTTTTTAAAGCAGTTATCACAATACTGTGATACAGTTAAACTGATGTTTTTATCCAAGGTTATCATCCCATAAGAATCATACCGTCCCATGCCTAAATGTAATGTAATATAATGTAATGTATTCATATATTGCGTTTATCGTGAATGGCCATACACTTAAAGCACTTTACAATCATAAGGGGTGGGAGGGTCTCTCCATACCACCACCAGTGTGCAGCATCCACTTACATGATGGTTCGGAAGCCACACGACAATGGCACCAGTGCGCTAACCACACACCAGCTATTGGTGGAGTTGAGAGACAGTGATAGAGCCACTTTGGTGGAAGGGGATGATTTGGAAGCCATGATCAGAAAGAGCCGATGAAGGGAATTTTTTCAGGACACCGTAGTTACACCCCTACTCTTTATGAGAAGTGCCATGGGATTTTTAATGACCAGAGAGAGTCAGGACTTCAGTTTAATGTCTCATCCGAAAAACAGAGCTCACATACAGGATAGTGTTCCCTTCACTTTACTGGGGCATTAGGACACACACAGACTGCAGGATGAGCGCCCCCTTCTGGCCTCACTAACACCACTTCCAAAAGCAACCTAGTTGTCCCATGCAATCTCCCATTCAGGTACTGACCAGGTTCAGCCCTGCTTAGCTTCAGCGAGCAACCGGTCTTGGGCTGCAGCGTGAAATGGCTGTGGCTGTTTTATCCTCCTCACAGTTATTAAATCAAACATTAAATACCAACTTATTACAGGTATAATTAACTTCTGCAGACCATGAATGACCCAACAAGTGGAAAGTCCTGCAGCAGCAATTTTACAGACATATATTAAATATCAGTGCACTGTAGGAAAAATAAAAAGATAAGATAATCTGGAGAAACAAAATGCAATTAAGAGCAATAAGCTTTGTCAACAGATTTACTTGTGATACTAACGGCAAAATACCTAGGCTAAAATAACCAATGTGGTGTTATTAGCTTTCAGGAAAAGCTCACATATTTTCATAAACAGTCAAATGCACCACTCACTCAGTTCTCACAATGTATTAAAATGGCTTATTTGTAGTGAAACCTTATTATTTGAATCGATTTGTTTTAGATATACGAATGGAAGTTCCCCAAACCGCAAGTTCAGCCCATAATTTGAACTGCAATTTCATGTAGGAAAATCAGAATTTTCACATAGCATAATATTGGGCATAATGCAAAGCAATCTATTCTATTACTTATCATCATTCAGGCAGATGTGCTGCTAAATGTAGGGATGGCTGCTGATATTGAGAGTGATTGAGCTCATTACCTGACTCTGTTGTCGGCATGTCTGACCTTTGACCTCTTCAGTGTGTTCTGCTGTGAGCGAGCGCTGGCCGCACCAGCGTGGGAGGCCTGTGTGTTCACATTACGCCCCTGCACAGAGCCCTGCTGCGTCCCATCACACTGACCTCCATGACGACCCCTGCAAGGGTGTAATAAACACATGCTGTTTTTCACAATGCTAATTGGTTATTAGCTATTTGCAATTCATAGAATTGTTTTTTTTTTACTGCAGTGGGATGCTGGATCTCATTTCAAGCAGCAGAAACTAATTCACACTGTCAGTCCACAATGGTGCTTGTTGGCATGCTAAAAGAAGTGCATTAGGAAATACAGGTCAGAGTACAATGCAATAGGGCGACGCAGTGGCGCAGTAGGTAGTGCTGTCACCTCACAGCAAGAAGGTCACTGGGTCGAGCCTCGGCTGGGTCAGTTGGCGTTTCTGTGTGGAGTTTGCATGTCCTCCCTGCATTTGCCTGGGTTTCCTCCGGGTGTTCTGGTTTCCCCCACAGTCCAAAGACATGCGGTACAGGTAAATTGGGTAGGTTAAATTGTCCGTAGTGAGTATGAGTGTGAGTGATGTTTCCCAGAGATGGGTTGCAGCTGGAAGGGCATCCGCTGCGTAAAACATGTGCTGGATAAGATGGCGGTTCATTCCGCTGTGGCGACCCCGGATTAATAAAGGGACTAAGCCGAAAATGAATGAATGAATGAGTACAGTGCAATATTCCAGTTAGGGCTGCACAATAAAGGTATATCGCTTAGGCATCAATATCGCAATGTGATCATTTGCAATAGTCACTTCACAGGATACACAATGTTGAGTTTGTATTATAACTGATCATTTGCATGTGTTTTTGAGGCCTGTGAATGTGTAAATTGTACCATTCATTCATTCATTTTCTTGTCAGCTTAGTCCCTTTATTAATCCTGGGGTCGCCACAGCGGAATGAACCGCCAACTTATCCAGCACGTTTTTACGCAGCAGATGCCCTTCCAGCCGCATCCCATCTCTGGGAAACATCCACACACACACACACTCATACACTAAGGACACTGTAGCCTACCCAATTCACCTGTGCAGCATGTCTTTGGACTGTGGGGGACATCGAGCACCCGGAGGAAACCCAAGTGAACGCAGGGAGAACATGCAAACTCCACACAGAAACGCCTCCTGAGAAAAAGTTCAAACCAGCGACCTTCTTGCTGTGAGGCGACAGCAGTACCTACTGCACCACTGAGTCACCAAAATTGTACCATTTGTAACTTTAATAACGATGTATGTTAACTTTTTAATACTATTAGACTTGGTAAATGATAAAACTCTGTTTATTTCAATTGTATCTATTTCTTCATTGTATTTACGGACCTTATTCTTTAATGCGGATGTGCGCTCGTTTTTTGTGATTGTTTTAGAACTTCCAATTCAGCTGCCTATGGAAGGAATGACTACGAATAATAAACGGCGGAAAATGGTGAAAGTACTTGCTCTACAAACAAGTGTTTGCATGATTATACAGACAAAGTAAAATAATATAATACGAAAATATCAGCTGGCAACATCAATCAGCAAAATGAGCTGTTTTTAACATCTAAAAATGAATAGAAGTGAACGAGACCGGAAGTCTCAATGGCTTTCGATTCAAATGGCTGCACCCACTTGTACGCGGAGAACAAGGTGAATAGATTGCTTATTAGATTTGATGCAGATGCAATTCTGTGACAGAATCATCCCAATCAATCTGACATAATAAATTCTTTCCAATTCCAAATAGAGCTGTTCAAGTCATCTGGTGCAATTGTGTTCATATCGCAAAATATACAATATTGCAGAATAAAACTATATCAATGTTACATTTTTCTAATATTGTGCTGCCTTAATCACAGTTTATTAGAATAATAGCATTAAAAATGCTTTTTGAGATCAACCTGAGACCACTTGAAAACTCTGTTTTAACTATGATTTATAGTTATGCATTCCACTAACAGCTTTTACAGCTTTATACAGCTTTTATTCTATAAACATCCTGTACAACACGCTTCCTTAATAGATTTTTTTTATGTAAACACTTATAATTTAGAGCATTCATGCCTAAAATGACAATTGGTGAAAATAACAAAAATAACAAAAAAGATGCTTTAAGACATGATTACAGTTTGACAACACAATGTTTCTTAAGTTATGATAAAACCAATAATTTGAAACATTTCCACAATTTCCATTATTTTAGATGTTCAATCACAACAAATGAAAACATTTTATTTGATTTTATTGGGTAGCACGATCGCCTCACAGCAAGAAGTTTGCTAGTTCGAGCCCTGACTGAGTTAGTTTGTATTTCAGTGTGGAGTTTGCGTCTTCTCCCCGTGATGGCGTGGGTTTCCTCCAGGTGCTCCGGTTTCCCGCACAGTCCCAAGACATGCGCTACAGGTGAATTGAATAAACTAAATTGGCTGTGTGAATGCCAGAGAGTGTGTGGGGGTTTCCTAGTGTTGGGTTGTGGTTGGAAGGGCATCCGCTGCGTAAAACATTTAGGGACTAAGCCGAAAAGAAAATGAAATAAATAAATAAATATTACAAAAAAAATTACAACTACAATTTTTTTACTTTACATTTTGGTATTAAATGTTTACAAATTTTCTACATTCATTGTTTATGTGTAATTCTTAGTTAGCTTCTTAGTTAATTCTTTTTTTTTGCTTTATTTTATCATTTTTCTTTTGTAGTACTTTGAGATTTTACCTAAAATTTGATGTCCTTCATAAATCAAATATATTAATATTATCATTTACTACTAAATTATTATAACAGTAAAAAAATTACTTAGTATAATTTTTAGTATGTGGCGACACGTTAGCTTAGTGGTCAGCACTGTCGACTCACAGCAAGAAGGTCACTGGTTCGAGCCCCAGCTTTGTGGAGTTTGCATGTTTTCCCCGTATTGGCGTGGGTTTCCTCCGGGTGCTCCGGTTTCCCCCACAGTCTAAAGACATGCGATATAGGTGTATTGAATAAACTAAATTGGCTGTTGTGTATGAGTGTGTGTGAATGAGTGTGTATGGATGTTTCCCAGTACTGGGATGCAGTTGGAAGGGCGTCCGCTGTGTAAAACATATGCTGGATAAATTAGCAGTTCATTTCGCTGTGGCAACCCCTGATGAATATAGGTCAGGGGTCACCAATCTCACTCCTGAAGGTCCGGTGCCCTGCAGGGTTTAGCTCCAACTTGCCTCAACACACCTGCCTGGGTGTTTCAAGTATACCTAGTTAGACCTTGATTCGCTTCTTCAGGTGTGTCTAATTAGGGTTGGAGCTAAAATCTGCAGGGCACCGGTCCTCCATGAACAAGTTTGGGTTAGGGGTTAGGGTTAGGCCCTGACCCCTGATATAGGGACTAAGCCGAAGGAAAATGAATGAATACATTTTTAGAGTAACATAGATGTAAAATCTGACCTGATCAAATTTTTGACAGATTTTGTGAGATCTAAAGCAAACCTGTGATGCAAACCCCAAATGCACTACCATAATCTTCAGCTTCATCACAATGTAAAACAACAAGTGTAAACTGCTGTGGTGGCGGTTCTGACCTCCAGCTGTTCTGTTGGTTGCTGTTGTCTGAGAGCAGCGAGCTCATGGGTGAATCTGTGGACAGGACAGGCTGGCTGGGATTGTGCATGGCCATGCCTGACATCTGCTGCCATGAAGAGGGAATGAGGATCTGCTGGGTACCTGCTGGCCAGCCCTGCTAAACACACACAACACGAACAAAACAACTCGGTCAGAAACACAACATCTACTTGCTTTCTAGCAATGTTTTAGTAAGAAACAAGGCCTGTTCACACATCCCAAAAACTATAATGTACAAAACAAATGCTCAGACTGGAATACTATTCTGGTTAGTTTGTGTCATTCCAGTATATATGATCACAACCAACGGCAGATTTAAATGCAACGCGAGGTAAACCAACTGGTATTCTTTCTTTATTGAGTCTTATGTTTAATTTTGTAAACAAAGGAATTTATCAGGATAGTTTCAGCTGATTGTCATTGTCAGTGACACACCTGCCAGGGCCTGATTGCTATCGAGAAATTTCCTGTATGATAAAAACTTTTCATTAAATCATTCCTTATTAAGTAAACTCATTAGCTGCCATGACACTACATAGAGCTTGATTCATATGTCCTGATTTGATTCTGGTTTAGAAGCTTTCAGTTCTTTATTTGTTACAGTCAGTGGCGGTTCTAGTTTAAATCGCACCCTGGGCATCCCATATTTTTCAATAAACATAACAATTTATTTATTCATTCATTCTCTTTTCGGCTTAGTTCCTTTATTAATCAGGGGTCGCCACAGCGGAATCAACTCCCAACTTATGCAGCATATGTTTCACGCAGCGGATGCCCTTCCAGCCACAATCCGTCACTGGGAAACACCCATACACTTTTGCATTCACACTCATACACTACGGCCAATTTAGCTTACCCAATTCACCCATTCAGCACATGTCTTTGTATATTATAATATTTGTATATCTATGTAAAATTGATTTTGATCATGCTTACACAGCACTAACAATGTGAGAGCACGTTTTTGGCCAAGGACAGAAAAGAAGTAAAGACAACTAACCTCTATTCAAGTTAGGACTGAACAGCATATTGTTTCAGCATCTACAATATATCGCAATCTGTACATCCGCAATAGTCACATCTCAGAATATGTAGTTTAATGTAGAGTTCAATCATAATGGGGTAAAAGTTTATCAGCATGCATTTTTAAAGAGATAGTTCACCCAAAAATTACTTACAGTTTTTATTACACCCTTCACAAAAATAATACAATTTAATAACTCCTATAGTATTGAAACAAGTGAAGTGTGAGTAAATAGTGAGTACAGTTTAATCTTTGAGTGAACTGTCCCTTTAAGGCCTGTGACTGTGTGAACATTTTAATATTTCAAAATTTTAAACATCCGGCCACAAGAACTTTTTTGTAACTTTAATATAGATTAAATAATATACAATGAAGACTATGCAGTGTTGATTATTCAATATCTGTTCCAGAATAGTGAATACCTGACAACTGTAATTCACTTTTATTTTTACTATATTTTATTTATCTATGCTTGTAATTTATTTGTTATATATTATTCAAGATGCACTGTTCTACAAAACCCCCCCAATCAATCCCAATAAACCTGTTAAATCATCTGGTGAAATTGTATTTACATCAAAATATATATCATAGAAATACAGAATACCGTAATGTCCGATTTTTCAAATATCGTGAAGCCCTATTTCAAGTATACAGATATTTGTAAAACTAATTTCCATGACTTTTCCAAAAGTTTGTTGGGTTTTCTGTTTTTTCACACTTTTTCAGGCCTGGAAAATGCCATGTCAAAAAATTCCATGACTTTTCCAGGTTTTCCATGACTGTATGAACCCTGTATATTTAAATTTAGACAACAGACGTGGACTTAAAATCAGAAGTTTTAAAATCTAATGTTTCTGAATTGGTGGTACAATACAAACATGCATTACACGCCCTCCCTTTTTAGCTCTATTTGCGGTGAATAATATTTACTCTTAGTGTGAACAGGCCTCGAGTCACTGAGCCCTTTGATTGATAACTCCAAAATGAGCACATTTAGCATGGCGACACTCAGTCTGCCTTGCGTTCGATCTCTTCCTATCATACATGAAAAGGGTCTAACAAGCTCTCGAAATCATACAGAACTTCATTAAAACAAAGCAACGCAGCAGGAAAGTCAATTTCAATTTTCATCTCAATTACGCTGCTTGAACAATTGCAAGTCCTTCATGCTTAAAGAGGAAACGGGGAATCAAAAAAATCATGGCAGATTGCGTTTCAGCAGATCAGCCTTTTATAAAGAGATTAAGAAATATGCAAGAAAACAATAACAAGTGAGCAGGGAATTTAACTGGAATGATTATCAAAGCGATGCAAGCGACAAGTTACGGTTGGCAGTCCATTTATCTGCATAGAGAGGAAGTGACTGGTTAGTGGTGGAGGGGGAAAAAAGGAGAATGAGTCAATGGGGAGACATTTGTTGCCACAGGAGTGGGTCTGTGGAAAGAGAAATCAGTTGAATTGCACAGAGTCAAAGAGCCATGCTTCACTGGATAGAGCCCTGGGGCCAAGAGGAAAAAAACGCCTAGTTAAATCATGACTGATAGGTGAAGAGAGGAGAAAACAAAACTAAAGCATCCTCCTTCCACTATAAAACTCAAAAGGAAATGAGGGCAAACAGCACATCATATCAATTCCTTTGATACTCTACATTAATAAAGGACTTTAAAATATCACGGGAATTATATTAAGTACATGTGACACTAATGAGCAAGAATCACAGTCTGCGCATGTGAATGTTTCTATATATTTCGATATATACTGTACATTTACATTAAGTTATAGATCTGTAAGTTATATAACTATAATATATATTGTTTTTAAATGTGGTATAGATAGTTATTAATATTTAAATTACTACTATTATTAGTATTATTGTGGCATTTTATAATTATTAAAATTATTGCACATTATTGTACTGAATTTGAAATAATAATAATAATAATAATATTAGCTGCATTGTTATTACTGTATTAATTATACAAATCTTTATGTACTATTATTAAAACATTCATTCATTCATTTTCCATCAGCTTAGTCCCTTATTTATCAGGAGTTACCACTGCAGAATGAACTGCCAACTACTCCCACGAATTTTTTACACTGCAGATGCTCTTTCAGCTATATCCCAGTACTGGGAAACACCTATATACTCTCATTCACATACATACACTACGGAGAATTTAGCTTACCCAATTCACCTATAGTGCATGTCTTTGGGCTCATGGGGGAAACCGGAGCACCCAAAAGAAACCCACGCTAACATGGGCAGAACATGCAAATTCCACTCAGACCTGCCAACTTGCCCAGCCAAGAATCGAACCAGCGATCTTCTTGCTGTGAGTCGACAGTGCGAACCACTGCGCCTCCCAAGTTATATAACTATAATATATAATAATTTAAAATGCAGCATAGATTTATTCATATTTAATCACTAATATTAGCATTATTGTGGCATTTTATAATTATTAATAATATTACACATTATTATTGTATTAAATTTGTATTAAAAGTAAAATAATAATGATTATTAGCTGTATTGTTATAATTGTAATAATTATTAATTAGAAAAATCTTTTTATTTATATTACTATTAAAACATTCATTAATTTTCCTTCAGCTTAGTCCCTTATTTATCAGGGGTTACCACAGCGGAATGAAAAAAATGTGTGAATGATTCATCAATTGAAATACTTAAAGTCCGTCCCAAATGACATACAGTACTTAATGCAGTCACACTGAATATTCTGAAATAAAAAAAAGAGGATGATAAACAAAAGTAACTAATAAAAAGTAAAACTGGAGCAGAAGGGGTGGAGCTATTGGATGCTGAGTTTGAAATATTTTATTTATATTAATTATTTATTTATTTATTTATTTATTTATTTATTTATTTATTTATTTATTTATTTATTTATTTATTTATTTATTTATTTTCTGCAAGTAAAATTCTGATACGCAAGCTGTTTCATCGCCTCCTGATGATCAATACGATTGTTCTCTAGATTCATTTGGTAGTTTGCCAATTCATTTCACTAATTTGGCAACTGTAAAACTTCTATTGGGAAACTCTACTGGATCTTTAAAAAAAAAACATTTCCTTTGGGACGACACTTAACTCATCCACTACATGGTTGATAGTATAAGTGCGTACTGTATAGTGTGTCATTTAGAATGCAACTTTATCTATTCTCTACCTTTATATACACACAGTACAGTACATATAGGTGTATGAATAATTTCAGGTTTCACTGTATATATTCATTATTCTAATTATTTTGTATGTTTACATCAGAAGACGTTCTGCATTTCTGGAGTGCTCGAAATAAACAGAAGATAAAAAGCACTAGGGATTTTTTGTTTTAGTATTGTATCAAATCCATATAAAATTGTGACCCCAAAACCGAGGTAAATACAGAATCAGGACTTCTATATACATCTTCTAACACTAGCAAACTCTAAATAATTTGATATCCTTGTTTTTGTTCTGATTACTTCTACAATCCTCATTTGTACAGTGAGAAAGTCAGTGTGTATAAAGCATCTGCTGAATGGTTAATTATAAAAGGAAAGGAACAAGTTCCTAGGAGTCATTTATGGTTAATCAGACTACACTGGTTCCATAGTATAGCTGTTTTGTGCGCATTCCATGGACACTAAGTATGTTTACAAAGACACTAATACGACTAAGACAATAATCTTATTAATAGTCTACCATGTAAACAGCGATTTTTGACGACCTCAATCTGAATAAAGTTATAATCGAATTAAGACATGTGGCATATTCCTAGTTTAGTGGCATTATTGTAGTGCAAGACAGACATGCAAACACCTTAATCAAACTATTACAGTCGTGTAGGACTTTGACACATTTTGTGACAGGATAGTCCATACACACATGTATGGACAGGATAGTCCACACAAACGCTGTTTGACACTATTCTCTGCACCTACATTGCAGTCAGTAAAGGACCACAGACAGTGTTTTTTCCATTAAAACAACCCCTTTCCTACCAGTTCTAACTTCATACTCGTATCCAACACCTCAGTTTGACACAGGGACATGAATGAAACGTTGCTGAATAAAAGTGAAACTGCTAAACTGCAGTTAAAGTCGAAAAATTTAAAAATCATGAAAGGAACATTTTTAAAGCAACTCATGTAAGCAATCATAATCAATCTTAATCATGATATTGCCTTATTTAGATTAAGGTAAATAATTTGATTACTGATGTCCGTAGTCCTGATATTCTTAGTAGATTACTGATGATTACATAGTCACTTTTGTAGTCACTTCATTTTTTGTTCGTAACTCTTTCAGTTCAGGATTTGACCCAGAATTGCAGCATGCAGCAAGGCAAATAGGTGGCAGAAAGAAAGAGAAACAGGTTTATCTGGTTGGCAGGACACAGGTTTACCAGCATTGTGGCACTCTGCTCCAGATGGCGAGAGCTGAGGGTCAGCGGGAGGCGCAGGGTCAGAGGAGTGCTGCTGCTGTTGCTCTGGTTGGGGAAGGGATAGAGGGATGTGTGGAGGAACTGAGGATGGAGGAAAGGGTGGCACGGTTAACAACACGCCGGCTGAACTGATGGAGACACTTCTCGCCAAGACCCACCATCATTGATGTAAATGCAGAAAAGCAACATCAAGTACAAAAACAGACCAATATGACAGTAGAGGCACCAACCTACTGACTTCTGTTGAAATCCCACCCTCTTCTTTTCAGAGTCTTTCCGAGTCACCAATTAAGGTGAAACACTGTGGGCAAATACACTGTTTTTGTCATGCACATGTTAATTTTGATATTTTGGGCATTTGGGATTTCATTTTTTGGGTGGGAAAATGCTCTATGGAAGAGCATTTTTTCCCTATTATGGAAGTCAATGGTTACAGGTGTCATTCTTCAAAATATCTTCTTTGTTGTTCAAAAGGTTTGGAACCACATGAGGGTGAGTAAAGCTTATTTTTTGGGTGAACTATCCCTTCAATGTTAGTGGCTAAAGATGATATTTTCTTGGAAAAAGTAAATTCCGATAATGTTAATTTTGATATTTTGGGTTTTTTGGGGGTTCATTAAAGAAACACGCCACATTGTTTTTTTTTTTTTTAAATTGTCATTTTACAGCTCCCCGAGAGTTAAACAACTGAGTTTTACCATTTTTTAATCCATTCAGATCATCTCTGAGCCTGACAGGAGCACCTTTAGCTTAGCTTAGCATAATTCACTGAATCAGATTAGACCGTTAGCATCTCCTTCAAAAATAACCAAAATTTTGACGGCGCAATAGCCTAGTGGTTAGCGCGCCGACATATGGTGCAATAGCACGTCAGGGCGTAGCGAGTTCGAATTTCCCTACCCCCTCTCTCTCTCTCCCAATTCGCTTCCTGTCTCAATACTGTCCTATCTAATAATAAAGGCAAAAAAGGCCAAAAATAAATCTTAAAAAAAAAAAAAAAATTTTTTTAAATATTTTTCTCATTTAAAGCTTGACCCTTCTGTAATGTAATGTAATGTGTATTTATATAGTGCATTTATTGTGTTTGGCCAAACACCCAAAGCGCTTCACAATCATGTGAGGGGTCTCTCCACACCACCACCAGTGTATAGCATCCACTTGGATAATGCGATGGCTGCCACAGGACAACGGCGCCAGTGTGCTCACCACACACCAGCTATTGGTTGAGTGAAGTAAAAGTAATAGAGCCAATTCAGTGGATGGGGATGATTGGGAGGCCATGATGGTAAGGGCTGATAGAGGGACTTTGGCCAGGACACCAGGGTTACACCCCTGCTCTTAACAAAAAGTGCCATGGTATTTTTTGACCACAGAGAGTCAGGACCTCAGTTTAACAACTCATCCAAAAGACGGATGTAGTTCCATTGTGTACTAAGACCAATGAGAAACAAAAAGCTGCTATATTCAATTTGGTCATTGTTATTTTCCCCAATTTAATTTAGTACTCTTATAAGAAAATATCAGCAGTTGTTACATACTTAGCTTAAAATGACGCAGTCTAATCCTGTTAATATTAAATAAAAGAGTTGAGCGTACAGACTGGTTGCTATGATGACAACTCCTGAATGAGTTTTATAAAAATATCTTACATCATGTCAAATCATCAATGATCAAATCCGGCTAAGTATCGTAGTTCTACTACGATATGGAAGTCAATAGTTACAGGTTTCTAACATTCTTCAAAATATCTTCTTTTGTGTTCAAGCGAAGAAAGAAACTCATAAAGGTTTGGAATCACATGAGAGTGAGTAAAGTATTACTTTTGGGTGAACTATCCCTTCAATGTTACTTAGTGGTTCAAGATGATATTTTCCAGGAAAAGATCTGTGTGATGAAAAACCTGTTCAGAAAAAAAGTCTAAAAGGCTCGTTTTCAGTTTTCACTAAATAATTGATCAGTGCAAAACTGTAAATTAATATAAAAAAGGTTGCTTTCCAAAAACAAACACTCATAATCAAAGATATGGACAGCAAAAAATGCTTTTCTTACATTTTGCCTTGTTTCTAGTCCAAATATCTAAAAAAATTACTAAATTAAAAAGCATTTTGTAGAAAAGCAAAACATATTGTCTTGTTTTAAAACTTATATACCAAAAGGAATTGACTTTTCCTATAAATCAGGGGTTCTCAATGTCTACATTAAAAGGTCCAAATCTCAAAGGTCTGGAACAACAGATATTACATAACTTGTTTTTAATAAACACCCATAACATGCATCACAAGTCAACATTATTTATTTTCCTTTAAATAAAGTGGCATTTGCATTCAAAAGACATGAAATACAATGGCAAAACCACTAATATAAGTGCATTTTTGTTCAAAACACAACAAATGGTAGGCTGAGAGTATCTGGATGCAGCCATGATGATGCAAGCTGAGATGCTCAGAGATGCAATGTCAGACACAATGCACTCACTAAAGCTAGTGACGTCACTGTGAGGGGCAGGGTTAGGGGTGGGGTTAGGTGAGCACATCAAAATGCATTGCAGCATGCAGCTCAGATTGTAGCTGCACCAGGTCTGCATCCAGACCTCTCTCCAAAAAAAAAGGTGAAAAATACAAAAGGTGTGTATCGAAAACTTTAGGTGTTACAGTTTTGCGTCCCTTATATCTGTATTTTGTGGCTACTGCTGTTAAAAATGTCTGTGTTTCATTTCATACTGGCGCTTCAAGTCTCATTACAAATCAAGCTGATTGGCTTTATGCTGGCTTGTGGCAAAATAAACACATCTGTCCATTGAACTGTCAATTCTCTTCAACAAGTTTTCTTTTCCGTACGACTGACATCTTCATCCATTAAAATGATCGCTTTGCTGCGGTGGTTAAAGCAGGCGCGCACACCTGATTAGCCCGCTCGATCACATGAAGCCTCATATCATTACTGGATGTCATAACAACAGTCAGAAAACTTTGAAATTGTTGTCTTCGATTTTATTTAGGCACATATTTTTTTCACAAAAATACAAACAACTAAACATTTTTTAATGAAGGAAATCCACAATTTGAATCCTTTACGCATAGTCTTTCAATTCGAAATAGAGTTGGGTCTGGATTGAATACCCTTGTGGTCCGGATCCGAGCCGGAGTTCATACTTTGAGAAGCCCTGCTACAAAACTAGCAAAATAATCTGCCAATCAGGTAAGCAAAATAATCTTGTTTTTCTTAGCTTACCACACTGGCAGATGATTTTGGTTGTTTTTAAGAGTTCACACTTAGCTGATGATTAATAATAAGGCTAGTTTGGCGTGCTGTCTCGGGAGAGTGCCCTGAGCTTATAAGATCCTCGAGCCCTGGGCTCCCTCCCGTTGCAAGGCGAGAGGGAAGTTTGAGCTCAGGTAGATCTCGATGACTCCCCCTCTTGCTTATTGTAGCTAAGTGTCAGATATGGATGTTGAAGGTGTACTCCGAGTTTAGCTAAAATATTTTGGATTAATTGTTTAGAGTGCTTGTTTTTGAACTGTGGGAGGAAACCGGAGGACCCGGGGAAAACCCACGCGACCACGGGGAGAACTAGCAAACTCCGCACAGAAATGCCGTCTGGTTTTGAAAGGGATTAAACCAGGGGCATTCTTGCTGTGAGGTAACAGCGCTAATCGCTGGCCACCGTGACGCCCGTTTGAAAGGGGGGAAAGTAGGGTTGGGTGGGGGGGTTTCTTCGAGACGAAGATATTGAGATGAGAAACGTCTGGTTATTTATAGCGAGTGAAGGATCGTCTGATAGGATAATCGGTTATTAGCTGAAGTCAGAACAGCTGTGAACAATCATAAGCACGTGATCCTCTCGAAATTTGTTTGTAAATAAACTTCACTTAAGAAAAAACTAACTTAGTTTTGATACATTATTTCTTAAAACATTTTATGCTTGATCAAAAAATGCTTTGTGATTTGAGAAGTTTTAGATATTTGGACTACAAAAATCTATCATCCATCATGTATTATGGAAATAAAACAGAGAAACAAGGATAAAACAACATATAACAACATAACACATCGCATAAAAAACTATGCAAGTCTATGCCTACCTGTGTCAACATGCTGGGCTGAATATGCAGAGGCTGTGTGGACTGGTTTTGGGGCACTATGGGCACAGAGTTGTCCATTCTCACAGGATAGCCAGTGTGTTTGTTGGAGGTCTGCAGCCCTGCTGAATGAAACACGAGCGATTCAGCTTAAATGCATTGGGAAGCAGCGTGAGTCTAGGAGGAAAGGATGCAGGGAGAAGAGGGTTTGGGTAAAAATGGCTCGGGTAGGGGCTCACCCTGGATGGTAGGAGGGCACACAATGAGGGTTTGCTGGAAGGGCTCTGTCTGGGCACACAGCTGAGTAGGGCGAGCCTGCAGCGGCACACTCTGCTGAGCCAAGCCTGGGATATTTATAGTGGCCTGCTGGTACAGACCAGGCTGGTAGTTCAGTAAAGGAACGTTGCTGCTAAGAGACAGGGACTGGCCCCCTGTGGAGGCCATCTGGCAGTTACGGAAAGAGAGGGAGACTCTTAGCACCATTGACTAACACACAAATAGCACACAAGACCTTAATATAGCATGCATACTATGGGTTAATGCAGTAGTTCGCCTGTTAATCACAGTTCTGATGTCGTTTTGCTCTTGCTGCTGTTTAACTTTTTTTTTGCACAGACAAATTAAATGATGCTTTCATCGATGGAGCTCCTGTTTTTTTGTGGGTCCACATTATATTAATTGGTTTGTTTAGGTTTGCTTGTTCATATACTGTATGGCAGTGTTTCCCAGCCATGTACCTGCAGACACATCAATAGTATATATTTGGGCTGTCTCCCTTATCTGACCCATTAACTACAGGTTTTAGAGTCTCTTCTAACGTTTTGATGAGTTTTTTAGGCGTGATTAGAGAGAAGTTGAAAATATGTACTGTCGGTGTGCCTTCAGTTATGTTACCTTGGCCACAAAACCAGTCAATTTGTCAAAATTGAGATTTAAACATCACATGGAAGCTGATTAAATAGACAATTTATCAATCTAATGTAATTGTAAATGTAAATATAATAATATTGATAATGTTCAGCGGAGATACAAGTTTTTGAACATCTAGAATCTGTTCAAATATTGAGAAAGATTGGCATGTGTCTTGCAAGATGTTTTATAGCATTCTATTAGAACAGTGGTTCTCAAAGTGGGGGTCGGGACCTCCCGAGGGGTCGTGGGACAATGAAGGGGGGTCGCCTGGTGATTTCCAAAAATCTATTTATTTTTATTAAACCATAAGAATTACCATATTTTATCCATAACCTACTGAAAAGAAAAAAATCATAAAGTCATTTATAGTCACTATATACCACTGTATATAGTTACTATAGTAGCTTATAGTTACTAGTTCTATTAGATTGCGATCGCTGGGGTAATTACATTATATTAAATACACAGCAATAGCTTCAGATGCAACAGATTGATGACCAGGTTAAGTTTTCTGGCACATTTACAGCCCTAACATACATAAAAAAACATCTACGAAGAATAGACTTGGGTCTATTGGTGTGTGTGCGCCATTGCATGCAAAGTTTCTGTACTTATAACCACCTCAGAGGATATTGGGGGTCGCGAGCCACTGGCATTGTTATTTTAGGGGTCGCGGGCTGAAAAGTTTGGGAACCCCTGTATTAGAAGACTATAGAAAGTCCATCCATGGTTAAAACTATTGGCACAATACATTGCACTGGAAAGAATAACCTACAGTATTGACCTTATTCTCCTAACACGGAAGTGCACTCGTTTCCTTTTTTGTGCTTGTTTTTTGTACTTCCAATTGAGTTAAACAATTAACGGCAGAAAACAGGCTCTAAAAGTGTGGTCATTACTATACATAAATAGTAGAATAATATAATAAGAAAATATCAGTTTGCAACATAACAAGCTGTTTTTAACGTCTAAAATTAAATGGAAGTGAATGAGAATGGAAGTCTGGAGCAAAAAATATTCCAATGGTGGCGACCGAGGTCCTATGCTGATCCTTCTCCTCTCTCTGCTCCCAATGCTTTCCTGTCTGTCCTCCACTATCCTATCCCAATAAAAGGTGAAAAACACCTAAAAAAAAAATAATAATAAATACTTATAAAAAATAATAGTTAATAACAAATATTAATAATAACATAAAATAATAATAACTATTATATATGATAATAATAACTCTTCATAATAACAGTTAGTATAATTTTATGTTCACTTTAATTTCCCTTTTGTGCAATAAAAAAAAGTTTATAAAAAATATTAAGAAATCACCTTTAAAGACGCCTGCCTAAAACACTTAGCACATTACTAATCAAAAATTGTATTTTGATACATTTATGGTAGAAAATTTACTAATCATCTTCATTACTAAGAAATTTGACTTAATATTCTAATAATTTTTGGCATAAAAGAAAAATCTATCATTTTAAGCCAAATATTGTTGTCAAAAATATACTATTATGTGGAACATATTGGTTTTGTGCTCCAGGGTCACATATGCTAATTAGGCCACAATGCTGCTTTCCATATAATTTGCCACACATCCATACAATTTATGTAGACGTTTAGAGAGGGCAAATTCTTCAGCAGGATTGCGCTCCTTCTCATACTTCACCCTCCACATCAAAGTTCCTAAAAGCAAAGAAGGTCAAGGTGCTCCAGGACTGGCCAGCCCAGTCACAAGACATGAACATTATTGAGCATGACTGGGGTAAGATGAAGGAGGAGGCATTGAAGATGAATCCAAAGAATCATGGGAGTCATACACAATATTAATTCTTTTCCCACTGCATCATGACTTTATATTCTATAACGTGGAATATTTCTGTTAAGTAACACAAGCAAAGTCAGACCTTATTGTCCCAATTAAATAATTAACAATCAAGGCATGATCATGTTTTATTTTGGTAAAATAAGCATAATCTAGAGGCCTTTGCCTTTCATATAAGCCACTTCTGATACCAAATGATCAACCAGAAGTCAAGTTATTATTTGTTGTTCCTAAAACTTGGATAGGCGACAAGACTTATGTCAGGTAGAGTATAAACTGACATTGTCAAAAAAAAGTTTTTGTCTTTCCTGGAAAGAAGAAGCATATGGTTGATTAAGTAAAAGACGACAGAACTGTGATTTAAGACAAACCATTACTCTTAGCCAGCTTGACATTACCAATTACATTGAGCTGCATAAAAACATTCTCTTTTCCCCATGCAAGTGACAAACTGAATCCGAGTGCACTGCAAACGAACTACATTTCCCATAATGCCCGTGCGCCACACACCTGGCTGTGCTGATTGAGTTGACTGCTGAACGTGACGGTGAGGTTGGCGGCTGCGCTCGGGCCATTGTGGCTGCTGAATAGGTTTTTGTTGTTGTCGAAGGCGGTGCACCTGCGCTTGCAGATATCCATGTTTTGGAAGCAGGATTTCACACTGTGCAAGAAAGGGTGGTCAGTGAGATTTAAAACAGAGAGAGGTGTGGAAACTCCTTCAGGATTATATCAGGGCTTACTGAGAGCTGTGTGGGAAGTGAAGCAGGTGGGTCATCGTCACAAACGGGTGGTTGAGGGTCTTGGTGGGTGTTATTCTCTTGTCCGCATCTAATGTTAGCATTTTCTTTAGCAGGTCGATAAACTCTCTCCGGTCAGCTTTCTCCGCTAAGATGTCTGTGCCCTCTAGGTTAGTCATATTGACCTGGAGAGGAAAAAACAAAGAAACAAGGAATGAGTTTATACTGTGCACAATCCTAAGCATCCTTGTTAGCCTGTGACTTTTGCACAATCTATAATCAATCAGTCTCTTTATTAAAAACAAACAGAAAATAAAGAAAATAAGCCTCTATACAGCCTCTATAACATTCAGGTCTGGACCCTGAGGAGGCCATTTTATGACTGTTTGTGTTTCATCAGATGGCATGGGATTGAATAACATAATGGATTAAAACCTTTCTGTAATTTCAACAATTCAGACAATATTGCTAACAACACTAGTAGAAATGCAGCTCAAACCAGGTCAAACAGCCTCTCTCCAACATTGTCTTTCACAATTAAACAATTTAATCAAAATAATTCAAACTCTAACATAACCCAACCCCTATCCTAACAAACCATACAGCAAGTGAAAGATCATTTATTCACCCTGTGTAAATCTCAATTAAATAAAGAAAACTGACACTTAAGACTGGTTTGCTGGTAAAGGGTCACATATATCCATTGTACAATCAGTACTTTCGCACAGTACTGTATGTAACACTTTTGAAGTAAATAAGTAAATCAATCTAAAATCTAAAAAGTCTAAAATTCAAATGTAGTTTCTTGACTATTTGTAGGTCAGAATTCGATTGGGTCAACATATTAAAGTACTGTCAACAATATTTTAAAATCTTTGTTAATATTAATTTCAACTTTTAATTTGATTCGTTTTAAATTTTAATTTAATTATTTTCCAAAATTCAACTTTGATTTTAATAATGCATTTGTAAAGGTTAGTTAATAGATCTAAGCTAACATCAACTAACAAATAGCTGTTTGTCAAATTACAAGAATTGACTGTTACTTAATGCATTAACTAAACATAATTAATGGACTATATTGAAAAGTGTTATCAAAATGAGCATGATTTAAATTAGTTATTTAAGCTAATTAAGGTTTGCATGCTTTTATATCAAACTTTACTATAACCCCTAAATACAGTCTGCTTTGAAACTGTACTGGGATTTCAATATGTAAATTGCAGTAAATATTATTATCTGTTTTACATATTATATTATATACATATATGCACACACACTTGTAAAATAAATATGAAGATACATTTTAAGAAGTGAACATAAATGTAAATAAGATGTGAACATAAATAATGTAAATAATATTATTTTATAACTCTAATATATTATAAAATTGTGGAGAGGTAAGCATGATCCAACAGCCAAAAAGGGGGGAGAGCATGCTTGGAACCCGGCTGCTAATCAGCGGCCAAATCGGAAACAATGAATAACACCTGTTTGTTCTAGTGATTGGGCTGGAGAGACACCCCTCTTAAGTAGAGGAGAAGGAGCAGTAGGGAGAAGAGAGAGCAAACGCACACACACACACACACGCACACACGCACACACGCACACACACACACACACACACACACACGCGCACACACACACACACACACACACACACCGACTCTGTCTTCTTCCCAGAATAATAATGAACTTTATAATAATGTAAAGTTTATAAAACTAATTTATTCATTCATTAATATTCTTGTTGGCTTAGTCCCTTTATTAATACGGGGTCGCCACAGCGGAATGAACCGCCAACTTATCCAGCAAGTTTTTACGCAGCGGATGCCCTTCCAGCCGCAACCCATCTCTGGGAAACATCCACACACACAATTATAAACTACAGACAATTTAGCCTACCCAATTCACCTGTACCGCATGTCTTTGGACTGTGGGGGAAACCGGAGCACCCGGAGTAAACCCACGCGAACGCAGGAAGAACATGCAAACTCCACACAGAAACGCCAACTAAGCCGAGGCTCGAACCAGCGACCAAGCGACCTTTCTGCTGTGAGGCGACAGCACTACCTACTGCGCTACTGCTTCACCTATAAAACTAATATAACTTTATAATACTTTTATAATAATATTAAAGTTTTACTATTATTATATAACTTTAACATGCATTATTTAAAAAATGTCCAGCTTTAACATACATGTGTTAATAATTCCATCACAATTCAGTGTGACAAATACATTTATGTAAAATTGACTCAACATACTTTATCTAACCTGTACTCAATAAAATATATTTAAAAATGCATTCATAAAAGATATTATATTTTAAATGATCATACACTTGCTGATAAATAGGTAAAACCTATTGGTTTAAAAAGCAAAAGTATATATTTCAAGAATTCTGTGGCTCCACTGTGATATATGTAGCATAAAAAATCCATTCTGACCCATACAATGTATTTTTGGCTACTAACAAAAATATACCAGACTGGTTTAGTTGTCCAGGGTCACATATTTTTGTATATTAGCTGTATTGATACTTTTGTATTGCTTGAAACCCTATTTTCATATTTGACTCAACCATAAGCTCATATTTGTATTATTGATGATCTTTTCACCCATTACTGTACACTCGACACTACCTGCATCATGTCATCGAGGCAGTTGAAAATGTATTTGCGAGCCTCTTTGGACTTGATGCCAAACTCAGCCTCGTGCTCGGCGGGAGTCTAAAAACAGAAACACATCAGTGAGGAAAGTGTTCAATCATGAATTGACCGCTGATGTCTTTGAAAATAAAACACACAGCGGTGCTTTAAGTGGGACATGCCTTCAGTCTCCAGAGAGGGTAGCTGGAGTCTGGGCCTCTGTGGAAGAAACGGCTGGTTTTAGTGCCAGCGCTCAGGAGATACTCCGCTGGCAAACCTTGAGTCTGGGAGATGTACCGAATCTGTAGGGATATACATTGAATGTAGATTATACAACACATTTAGCACATTTGGATTGTAGCCAAGTAGTGTATGCAGAAGATGGTCCAAATTAGTTATATACTATCAAATGTACTATCAATTGATTGGATTCACTAAGGTTTTTTTATGGCTTTAAAAGAAGACCGTTCTGCTCTCTAAAGCTGCATTTATTTAATGACAAATACAGAACAACTCTAGCATAGTGATCATTTACAGGAATTTAAAATAGCCATTAAAAGTGCAGGATGTAAGATTGACACCCAGTGGTTAAACTAGGTATTGCAGTTCAAATTCAAAACACGTTGTCATCCGGTCCCTCCTTCAACGACTCCACGTAAATGCAGGTTACCAGACTGATGACACCAACAGGAGTAAGCGTGCCTGAATATCGAGTCTACACCGTAACTACGCACAATAAAAATTATCTTTTCTATGTATGAAGGAGTTTTAGTCCAAACCACCATCTGAAATTTCTATTTTCTCGAGGCTGAACAGCAGCATAAACTATTAAGACAATGATCACATCAGGTACTGATTATGTGCTCTTTTCAGTGTTAAATGCTATAAATATGAGTTTGAATATCATTTTACGTGGCATTTATTGTCTTATGGAATGCAGCAGCAGATAGTTTACCTCAGATATCGATCATAACATAAACATATTTGAATATGAATGAACTGTGATTCCATCCAAAACAACAAATATTAGTCACTCACTTTTAATAATGTTAAAGAGGTTTAATATGTATTAAATATATTCTACACCAGGGGTTTTCAAACTTTTTATTTTCAGGGACCCCCATTTATGATGTTTTCTTGCAGGGAACCCCTTTGCCTAAAGTTTAAAAGCACTTATATATTTCAAATATAAATATGTAAACTAAAATTCTGTATAACGTAAACACACTATAGTTCGTATTTCACAGGCATGCAAAATGGTATTGTTTTGAAAGCTATTTATTTTTTAGTTGGCAACTCACTACAGCCAAAAGTTATTCTCAATTTTTATATTTCATTTAAAAAAAAAAAAAAATATATATATATATATATATATATATATATATTTATATTAACTGAAAAAGATAGCTTTTCTAAATGAGGCAGTGGTAGATGAAAAGTTAAATCTTGATATTTGTAACATTTGTAGTTTCTGTAGTTTTTTTTCCCTGTCTTGTTTTTATGGAAAACTGCAAAATATTTACATTGAACTTATGCTTTTGCTTACTGTGTTTTCTAACAAAGGCAGACAACTACCTTTTGTGCCGCTTCCTCTCCAAATTATTATTTTTTTTAAATTTTTTTATGATTTTTTAGGGGTTTTTACCTTTATTTTGATAGGATAGTAGAGAATTCAAACAGGAAAGCACTGGGAGCAGAGAGAGGGAAAGGATCGGCAAAGAACCTCGAGACGGGAATCGAACCTGGGTCGTCACTAGCACACTGGTGCAATATGTCAGCGCGCAGTACCACTAGGCTACCGGCCCAGACTCCAAATAATTCTTTGACGATGTCTTTGGTAGCTGGTAATAACAATGCATCGCCAACTATGTGCGGCTTCTAGCACGCGTGATGTGGAGTGATGCCAAATATGACATTTTCAACACCTCTCAGGGACTAATGCTTGCTGCTGAAAAATACTAGCCTGCCGGGCTAAACACAACTCCTGAGGTTTGAAATAGTCGATTTTTCTGCCTCATTGGCATGTTTCTGCTGTAAATGGCGATTGAGCTTGGATGGTTTCATGCATTTATTGAAGAGAATCGCTTGACAAAGAAAACACTGGGGTATATCGACTTCCTGCTTTAACATGCAGGTAAAACCAAGCACAATGTTAGATTTGTTATAATTTCTGGTTTTTGCCTTAACCCTCGCCAAGTCAGATTTGCATGAACTGCCTGCGGGAGCGGGATTCTTTAAAAATCTTTCCATCATCTGTACTGCACTTACAGCCGCTTATTGTATGCAAAGACTTTCAGAGGGCAAAGGATTTTGGGATAAAAACATTACTATTAAGTATCTACTTATAAAAAATCAATAAACTATATATAGATTAATATATTATTGTCATTAATAAATTTAGGATTGGAAAAAATATCTCATAAAAATCATTTTTTGTTTCCGCCAAGTTTCTCACGGACCCCTTAGCACTCTCTTGCTGCCCACCAAGGGTCCGCGGACCCTAGTTTAAAAACCCCTGTTCTAAACCATACCATTTCGTTAAAGTGCAGTGCACTATTCTGTGCTTCTGAAAAGCTGTATTGAAATGCTGCTGCTGCCCTGCAGAGGTCGCATTCATATACATTAAAGCAACCTTCAAGACTGATATGAAATACAATGCATTTTTAAACAATGCATCCTGGGGAGCTGAAATCTAATTGGGTAATCTGGCAAAGGGCAGGCTATATTGACCAAAACAGGGACATTTTCAATAGAGAATAACAGATTGAAACTTTTTTTTTTTTTTAGATAAACAAACATGTTTACTTTGAATGTTTCTTAAATATGTGTTTTAACACTTATAATAAAAATAAGAAGAAATGTTTCTAGAGCAGCAGATCATCATGTAAGAATTATGCCAGGAGGATCATGTGACACTGAAGACTGGAGTAATGCTGCTGAAAATTACGTTTTAAATTGCAGGAATAAATTACATTTAATAATTACATTTAATTTAATAACATTAATTTTTTTTTTTTTATTAAGTGAAAGTTATTTTAATATTATTTCAGAATTTCACAGATTTAAATAAAACCAAATAAATACAGGTTTGGTGAGCAGAATAGGCTAAAACAATTTAAAAGCCTTCCTGATCCTAAACATTTGATTGCTAGTGTATTTTCTATTAATACACTAAAATATAAGCCAATATTTGTCATTTAGAGAGCAGAAGTGTAGGCGCCCCCTTGTGTCACTTTTCACGTCTAGCTTTCCCAATTGAATTATGCAAATCTAATCAATTCTTTGCACAGGACTGATTCAATTAAATCAAACCAAATCTTATTACTGACCTGATCGTATTCTGAAGCTCCTGGATACAAAGGCCAGCCCAGGAACAGTTCAGCAATGACACAACCCAGAGACCACATGTCAATGGCCTCACAGAACGGAAGGCCCAGAATGATCTCTGGAGCTCTGCGTCACAACAGACGAATTATAATACAATTATTTCATACCGCAGATTTCCTTTCGTAATATAAAAGACAAAGACGCACATGATGCACGAGTTTGTCTGTTCGTAATTTATCTTATATATTTTCAATTCAGTTTGAAAACACAATTTATAAAAGTATTTTCTAACTTTATTTCGTGTGTATTTATATACTTGATGGTTTATTTATTTTGAAATCTAATATTGACGCCTAAAAATCTGATACCATATATTGGCATGGAAAAAATAATTAAGAGACCAACGTAAGTTGCTCGGGATTCACATTTTATAGTTCTACATTTTTAACTATTCATGACAATTCTTCAAAATTTTGATTAAAAATATGGCCTTTTTTTTTGCATAAATTGACAAAAAAAAAAAGCCATTTATGTAATACTTTGAATAACACAATACCAATGTTTTGACCAGAAATGCAACGATTATAGATTTTGGTTGTACGATTATAGTCTGAGGCAGTGCTTAATTTGTAAATGAATAATTTCCAGAACAAAACATTACCTTACTGACATTCACCACACAATTACAGTTTTCCCGGAACATTACGTCATTAAACGGCGACAGGGCAACTAAAGCATCAAATTTCTGAACGGTCTTTAATTATTTTGTGCTATTATTAACGTTATGGGTCAATCATGGGTAAAAACATGTGACTACAAACATAATTCATAAATCTTATAGAACATCATTCTGAATGCTCACAAAACCAATGAGAATGATTGTAAACGTAGGAAAGATGATTGACTAAAAATATTGTTGAGGGCCAATAGTTAAATGTGACTTTAGCTTTAACTTGTGCATGGTAAAACCATCACACAATCGACAGGCAGGTATTTATTCACCACGCACAAGTTAATGCCATATCAATTAAAATAAATACCCGAATGCAAAACACGAATATCTGACATTTTCTGGAACAGGATCCAGCAAGATCCAGTTAAAATTAAGCACTGGTCTGAGGGATAATAGCGGTTTTACGGTTATAGCGAGTATTATGCATTCATTAATTTTAACACTACTAATTTAGAAAAATCACATTAAAACGTATTTATTGCTGCTCAGTCACCAAATAACACAACACAAAATAATAATAAAAAACAAACAATAGTCTATTTCTCTTGGGACTTAGAATAGGTAAAATTGTAAACATAAGTGATAATTTTACACTGAAAATAACTGACAAAACAATGAATAAATAAATAAACAAATAAACTAACAACAAAAAACCTAATAAATAAATAAAAATTTGAAAAAAAAAATGAATTTGTCTAATGTAAATCTAAGCTACAATAAAGCTAAGCATTTCCTTTTAAAAGAAAACAAATGTAGTCAAAGTCTGCTAAACCTCTGTCTTTTGATCAACCATATCACAAAATTACATAATACAAATTTTCATTTTGTATTTTTCTTTTTGAACCAGAGTAGAAATGTGTATTGTCTGTATATCTGCTCTTGCCATGTGACTCACTATGCGCTCGCGATAGGTGGGTATGCCCGGAAAGCACGTCGCTTCCAATAAGCCACACTCCTCCATTGGAAATAACGCACTTGCACACGCAAAAGACGCGATATGTAAGTAGCCCTTACTATACCGTGCAGAACGAAAGAGGCATCAGTTGATACCCTCAGCCATTGTTAATCTAGTGTGCGTGGGTATTAGCCTCGGTGTACAAGCTCTCTAATAGAAAATATTTGTATTTGCAATTTGGAAAAAAATTATCAAACATTTGTAAAATAAATGAAATGTTTTTACTTACTTTTTATTCAACTGATGCCTAATAAATACAGATAAACTAAGAATTTTGTAGTTCATAGCTGTATAAATCAGTTTTAAATCACATTTACTATTGTCTGCTTCCTGAAAGTAATGCTTTAGCACTTTTATTGGTCAGAATTCATGTAGATTGCAGAATGCATGGATTTAGATGCAAAATGTGCACAAATGTGAATACAGTATACAACCATTTGTCAGCTTCCAGTGTAATTTATTTCAATGTTTTCAAAAAAATGCAACTCACTGTGTTAATTGATTACTTTTTAAACATGTCACATACTAGATTGAGATTGAATCAATAAGTCAAATTGTTCTCTGATATCTACATAGTAGGAACATGGCTTAGGTAAGTTTCTTCATTCATTATCCTTTGGCTTAGTCCTTTTATTCATCAGGGGTCGCCACAGCGGAATGAACCACCAACTTATACAGCATATGTTTTACATAGCGGACCCAGTATTGGGAAACACCCATATACACTCATTCACCTACATACACTACGGCCAATTTAGTTTATTCAATTTACCTGCAGCGCATATCAATAGACTGTGGGAGAAACTGGAACACTCGGAGGAAACCCACGCCAACACGGGGAGAACATGCATGACTAGCTTAGGTAAGTAAAATGAAATGATGAATGAAATGCACAATGTAAGAAGAAAAATGAAATGGTTTTACATGCTTACTTTAAGATACCCCTAAAAATCAGAAGGTCTTTATTGACCATATTTGGAAGGGTCATGAATATTAATGGGTTCAGCTCTGATGCAGTGTGCATAATAATCATCATGTGTGCGACATATCAGCTTTGTTATGGCTGTTGATCTCCTGACGATAGGGTGGATGACATAGAATGTGACCTAATGCAGCGGTTCCCAACAGGGGGGGGTCCTGGCCCACAAGGGGGCCTCAGCGAGCTTTGTGGGGGGTCGCGTCATGTCTAAAAAATTTCTTAGCAGTGGACAATTGGGAGAATGATCATGTTGCCTTAGTTCATTTTATCCCATAGCTCAGTGGTCCTCAACCATCGGTCCATGGATCAATTGGTACCGAGTTGCACAAGAAATCATTAATTATTTATGTTTTATTATTATTTGAGTCTGAACGATCTTTTATTTTGAAAATTCTTTTATATTGAAAAATGACTGTATTCTCACGCTTACATTTTGGTCACTTTAGTGCCCAAATTTAAACTAAAAGCAGCAAAATAAGTAAGAAACAGACATCTTTGGAAAGTTTCTTTGGGCCAAGGGTAAAAGGCCAAGTGAAGGAACTGCCAAGGAATGGATCCGCAACCCATGTGTCAACAAATCAGGTGAATCCAGCATGTCAGTGCAAGAACATCAACTGATGGAGATCACAAATGATGGTGGCCTTTTAGTGGTTGTTCGTATATTGCGTATTTCTTGAGTTTTTAAGTTTGTGGTGTCCAATGGAGGTGTGACGCGCCGTGACGCGCTCGCACCAATGAAGCCCGGGCCGCAAACGCAACGCAAGTCACGTGACAAGAAGCTTCAGATTGTATGAAATATTCACATTTTGGTAAGATTTGTTTTCTCAGACAAACACAGAACACATCAACGCCTGGCAGCAGTCCTCACACTACTTGATAGAGCATAACAAATAACAGCACATATGCTGCATATTACAACATATTAAGCACATATTAAATTGTAAAAGCCTATATTGTTTTTTCCCTTATACAGCAGTGTGAATATGAGTATTTTTGTTATTGAGTTTCAAATAGGGCCAATTTAAATGCCAAAGGCTTATGTTTTTCAGTTACAAATGGCCTACTGATGTTTTGCTTTATATTTTACATTAGGCTGTCATTTGTGCATAAACATATCTAGATATAGTAATAAACATACTCTTTGTTTGAAAACAACATTTTTTATCATCATTACTGCAAACTTTTATGAGCGGTAAGATCATTAAATGTGGAGGGGGGCCTCACAATATTTTTTTTTAATTTGTAATATTTCACTTTTAAAAGTAGATTTACCCAGCACTGTCAGTTTCCTTTCAACATCAAATATCCTTACCGGTAATATCTAGACTGCAGGTAAGTTGAGCACACGGCCTTAGAGACGTGACTGGCAGAACCGAAGTCGATGACCTTGACCCTGTAGGGCTGTCTGATGGGGTCCACCAGCATGATGTTCTCAGGCTTTAGGTCAGCGTGGATAAGCCCCAGACTCTTGAGTTTCATCAAGGCTGTCGATACCTGCTGCAGAACCGGCCGGATGCACTTGAGGAGCAGCGGGCTGAACTTACTGTGCTTGAGGAAGTCGTAGAGGTTCTGCTCAAGCATCTCGAACACCAGACACGTGTGGTTCTTGTGCTGGAAACACTCGTAGGAGCGCACAAAGTTGAACTCGTCTGCATTCTCTGTGCTGAGACGGCTGAGGATGCTCACCTGCGAAAATAAGATGACATGGAGTTCATTAGGTTTTAAGCATAGACATCTACATTAGATGTCGCCTACACTGTTGTTGTCTATTGGAAGAAATGCTTCAATAGAGCTGCCATTTTAGTACAGGGTAGAGCTCCTTTAAAATGAATGTGGAACCAATGTGTAGAGGAAGAATGGCCATCCAGAGCCAGATATATATACACATACATTTATCTATGATCAGGAGTTTTCTCGTTTGTACATCGATAGATAAGTGACGGCACGGGCATTGCCGACAAAAAGCATATGTTTGTGTGTATGGAAATGTATTATCTCCCTCCCTTTTAAAACTGATCTAATCCATGTCATGACACACGCCCTCTCTCCTGCTTTCACTTTTCATTCAAATGGAGAGAGCAATTCGTTTGTGAATGTAACTCTGTTATGAACGACTCGTTCACTTAGCACCGCAGCATTGTTGTCATATTTCATCAACATTTTTTGCTTATTTCATTCAACAAAACTATCATAAGCTTAGTATTTAGTGCGAGTTAGTGCAACTTTGCCTTATGGTCAGTGCAGTAAGAGACTGTATTATCATCAATAACGTTATTTGTTTAGCACAAAAGTTCATAAGATACAAAAAACTAAATCTTACCTATGAAATGTTCTGCCTTTGTGCTTTGTTTTCTCGTTACCTGGTCAACATGGCTGGGTTCACATCAAACACAGAAGAAATAAATGAGGCAAATTTCTGATGTTTATGCCAAACGCAAGGCATGTTCCTCATTGTTCATTCACGCAATAGTAATGCGCATCTGTTCGCACTTTGCATTGACTTGTATGCAATTTACCCACAATAATACTAAATTCCCAGTTTGTTGTGAACCTAGTATAAAAGTGTTATCATCTCCACCTGTTGGTTTAGCGTAACTATAACATGCATCTTAGTGAGCTTTTGCATTGTCATGTCAATAGAGGTTTTTTAAATACGAAGGCATGGAAAATGTACGTGTGGACTTGATCTGAAATTACACATTTCCTACACTAGTTAACAGCTCACCTCTATCTGACCCTGGCGCGCATACGAAGGATGATTCTTGAGGATCTTAATGGCCACGATCTCATTGGTTCCCCGCTTCCAGCATTTGGCGACCTGTCCGAAAGTTCCCCGGCCAAGGAACTCCAGGACCTCGTAGCTGTTGGAGACGGAGCAGAGGATCTCGTGCTGCACCAGCTGGTAGTCGCCCTCGCTGTGGGAGTTGCTGCTTTTGGTGGTGGACGTGGAATGAGCGATGGACTGAGCCGTGGCGTTTCCTCCACCTCCGGCTACGCGGTTGGGGAGCACAGGCGCTGAAAGCTCTTCCAAAATCTGCACGCTGTCACTACTGTCCACCTCCTCGCTCTTCCGCTTCAGACTGGCCCGTTTCTGATAGCCCTCGCAAGTCAGAGAATTAGATCTCGCATCTTTTCCGCGGTGGCTGGATGTGGATGATGATGAGGAGGATGATGAAGGCTCCGGGCCACTGCCGGTGCTGTCCGCCGCGCGGACCACCGTCTGCTCCCTCGATGCTCCGGGTGGAGGAAACACCAGGCTGGAGGAGTTGTAGCTGGGGTTGAATCCAGATGTGGAAGGAGAGGAACCGTTGGTTTGGCTGGGGCTGTGCTGGTAGTAGCTGCTCTCGCCTGATTGGTTGCTCACGTTCCATGCATGGTTTTCCACCTTCAGTTTCTTGGAGCGGGATATGCCGCTGGAGGACACGGAGGGAGAGGAAAAGGCTTGCATTTGTGTGGACATGCCTGGAAAAGAGAAATATTTTATATTAGTTACTTCACTATTAGTTACTAGGTAATTAGTTAAAGTTGTCAGTAATTGATAAACCTATGGTAACTAATAACCTTCCCTTTTCTGAGGTTGATTGCAAAAATGTGCCTTTTTTTTGGTGGTTGCAATTCCCCATAATTCATTGTTAATTTTAAGCCAATTTTAATGGGTTGTTTTGTTTCAATTTCTTAGTTTCCTCAACCATTGCAGAGCCTGGGGGACCAAATAAGTATGGGGACAGATTAGACTCAATAATAATTCACGCAAAAGACACGATGTACACATGCGTAGCCAAATTCACGTGCATAAAACTAAATTCACGTGCGTAAAATATTTATTCATATTCACAAAAAAATTTCACGTGCACAAAATAAAAATACATTTTCATAAAATACGCTTCCCAAATGCAAAACACTATTTGCAAATGTATAAGAGTGTACAAAAAGTTTTGAATGTTTAAAACTTGCGAGTTGATCCTGAATGAGAATGTGCAAATCCTCTTTCACGTACGACTCCCCCTGGATACGTGTGTGTGTATTTTTGAGACTTTCCTGCCAGAGTCAGGGCTACTCGTACCTTTCAGCCAATCAGAGGAGAGCTGTATTCAATAAAACCAACTCTGCGCTTCTTTTGCGCAGACTGTTCCTCTCCAGCATGGCGAACGGAGAAAGCAGCAGTCGCAGTCACACTTTTTTATTTATTTATTTATTTATTTGACCATATCCTTACTCTTTTTATCTATTATTTTGCCGCAGCTCCGCTCTTCTTATTTATTGTCTCGAAGCCCCATGAGCAAAATGTATCCTGCAGAATAATGTTGAAGATTAAGTATCATTCCGGCCACACCAGTATTGCAGCACCATTGTGGTCCAGTGGTCAGCATGCTGGGTTACCATACCCTTAGACCCCTGTTCGATTTTCACCTGAGTTAATAACTTTTTTTTTCCATTTTTATTGTTAAGACATATAAAACTAAGGTTGTTGAACATTTGAAGTTTTAAAGCAGCTGTTTTCTTGAAAAAGACGTGATAGTGTCATTAGAAACTGAATGAAACTGAAAAAAAAAGATATTTACTCAGGTGAGGATCTTTATTTTTTTTTTCATTTGGACCCCCACAGTCCAAAGACGTGTATTACAGGTGAATTGAGTAGGCTAAATTGTCCGTAGTGTATAAGTGTGTGTGTGAATGTGTGTGTGGATGTTTCCCAGACATGGGTTGCGGCTGGAAGGGCATCCGCTGCGTGAAAACTTGCTGGATAAGTTGGTGGTTCATTCCACTGTGGCGACCCCGAATTAATAAAGGAACTAAGCCGACAAGAAAATGAATGAATGAATTTGGTTTTATGCACGTGAATTTGGCTACGCATGTGTACATCGTGTCTTTTGCGTGAATTTCTTTTGAGACTAATCTAATTCCATAAATAAGTGCTCCAGCTTGGCCACCCCTGGTCCCAATGTGCACCTGTAGAAAAAGCTCCTGTGAAACAATAATTATTATAAAAAGTGAAACACAATTAAACTTAAACTGAATTAAGGTTTCATTAGTGGATGTATTTACTAACATGAACTAATACTTGTACAGTATTTATTAAAGGTGCAGTAGGTGATTGTCTTCAGAAAGATTTTTTGTTGTGCTGGTTGAAAGTCTCTTCACATTCCAATAGTAATGATTAAAGTAAATGATCTAAATGTATTTATATGTATTTTTATATTTTGGGCATAAAAACAAAAAAAATGTTCATCCAATTAAATAGAGTCGGGCTGACATCTCTAATAATTCCGATAAGTAGCAGAATCTGTCTGTCAGCAAATGCAGATTTGAACAACTGCGCAGCCGTTTGTACGCAGCTCTGCCGACCGCCGCGCGTTCACGAGAGCGTGATCGGTAAAAACCTGCTGAATCAAAACTTTTTAAAAACCTGAAACAATATTGGAGTTACCTTTGCATGCCGGAGAAAGGATGACACTATGGCTGAAGGATTTCTCTTAGACAGGTAATGTTCTGTTTAAAACTGTTTTAGCTTCATGCAAAGCTGATGTAATGTTACATGTTGTTACAAATGGGTTATTTCTTCACAGAAGTGTTGTTCAGCCACTAAAATCTTCCGATGAAAGATTGATAAGACTATTTTTAGTTTCATAAGGGACCTTTTACAGCATCGATAATGTAGATTTTAATTAGTTTAACAACAAAACACAAGTAAATACCGCTATTCTGCCTAGTCTCTCCCTATATTGTTTACCATGCAGCTCTAAATATTCGCTCTGAAATAGCATGTCAGTTTGGCTTGCACGCCGCCAGACAAGCACTAGTTGCTTTTAACACATGAGAGAGGGTTCTTTTGCTGTGCTCGTGTTTAAGGAGGCGTGGATCTAGACGGCAGGGGAGGGACTGTGTTTCAGAGATTTATGCTAAGCTGTTAGCATTGTGGAAGATCACCTACTGCACCTTTAATCATAGTTTAATCATACATTTATTAATGTATTATTAAAATCCAAATTTGTAGTTGTTAACATTAAATTCTGCACTTTGAGTTAACATGAGCTAACAACGCAGGATTTTATTCTCATCAACTAATAATAATATAATATTGCAATAAATCTACTGTTCATTGTTTGTTCGTGTTAGTTAATGCATAAACAACCTTATTGTAAAGAATTACCACTATTTTATTGAAAATGTTTTACGTGAAGAATTACCAAACCAATTCAAAATGAACATTTGAGTCTTTTTGTCCACTCTTTATTCTTTATTCGTAACGATCTTTAAAGGTTCACAAAACCCTTGAGTACTTTTTTTGAGATTTTAACAGATTTGTGTGTGTTGAGCATCAGTTAACACAGTTAGTTTTGTCAGCTAATTTTAGCTTGTGGGTTTAAAATGATTTTTGGGGCGGGATCAAAATCAGCAACGTAGCACAAAACTGCAAGTGCAAAGATGACGTGTCGGTTTCTCATTATTATTCATAGCGGTGTTTTCTTATCCTATGAGAAGAGCCTGCTGCTTAATTATTCATGACTGCGCGTGCTTTCTGGAGGCAAGGCAGACCTGCCAGTGCCAAGCTGTGAGACACTGACCCACGGCACTTAATATTTAGTTGTTCATGAAGGGTCGTATGTGTTTGTTTCCCTGATCCACAGGGTTTGTTGCATGTTTTTCCCCGCGATGCTGTCAGGGCCGATACAGCAAAGCTGTTTGTGTGCAGCAAGCATTTTGGTCGAGAGAGCAGTACAAAAATTGGAGAATGGCGGACATTGTCTTTTATCAGGAGTTCATTCACATTTAGACACATCGATGTGCTGCTTTGTTTGCCTAAAGCCTGGTTTATACTCGATGCGTCTGCTGTATTTGCCTAAATCCTCTAGATTACCAACAGGGCTAATGGTTAAAATAGACAGGGCAAGAGACCTGCTGCACTGAGTCTGCATTCAGACCTATGATTCAGATACTGTCATTGTTATTTGCTTTGAAGATTTCTTTTGTCCACACATTACTGACATTTACGTTGTCTCCTACATTAATTGATGCAACTTCATTGTAAAGTTTCATCTGTCTGTCTGTCTAACCATCAGCAATGCACAAATATAGTTTTTTTTTGCAAATCGGCCGATACTGATATTAGGGCTGGGCCGATAATATTATATCGAATCATGATAAAAATTATGTTGATAACAATGAAGCTCAATGTGCATCAATGGGAATCTACAAGTTTGTTGATATTAGAGATTTCGGCCACCAAAAATGTATCGAACGAAAACATGTTAGGCCATTTAAATGGACCCTTTAATTTTTGTGGCTTCAGTCATTGTTGAGGTACAGCCATGTCACCCTGCAGCCCAAGACCGTTGAAGCTAAGCAGGGCTGAGCCTGGTCAGTACCTGGATGGGAGACCACTAGGGAACACTAGGTTGCTGTTGGAAGTGGTGTTAGCGAGGCCAGCAGGGGGCGCTCAACCTGTGGTCTGTGTGAGTCCTAATGCCCCAGTAAAAGTGAAGGGGACACCACACTGTCAATGGGCGCCGTCTTTCGGATGAGACGTTAAACCGAGGTCCTGACTCTCTGTGGTCATTAAAAATACCATGGCACTTCTCGTGAAAAAGCAGGGGTGTAACCCCGGTGTCCTGGCCAAAGTCCCTCTATCGGCCCCTACGATCATGGCCTCCCAATCATCCCCATCCATCGAATTGGCTCTATCACTGTCTCTCTTCTCCACCAATAGCTGGTGTGTGGTGAGCGCACTGGCGCCGTTGTCCTGTGGCTGCCGTCGCATCATCCAAGTGGATGCTGCACACTGGTGCTGGTGTGGAGAGACCCCCCTTATGATCGTGAAGCGCTTTGGGTGTATGGCCATACACAATAAATGCGCTATATAAATACACATTGCATTACATTACATTGAGGTACTCTTTTAAATCTGGAAGCTTTAACAACTGATATTAAACTATATATCTTTATATGGTAAATAATTATCGAGAATGCATTTTTGCCATATCGGCTAACTGATGCTGTTTTTTTTAAAAGCTAGAAATTTGAAATTAAACCAATCAAACACGCTATATTTTATCATTGATAAAATCTTGTTGGTATTTACTTTGAATATTTCTATTGTCCACTTGAATTTGTCTGCCAAATGAATGAATGTAAATATTACAACACTTTAACAATTTAATAATTGTTTCCAAAAACTACTCAGATAGTATGATTCTAAAGCATATTTTAGACAACAAAGTGTAGAATTGACAGTCTGCATTAATTCATTTCTTTGCCTAGCGGGTTCCACACAGGCTTCTGCATCTTGCTTATATACCCTATGAACAGCAGCTACGCTAATTATTCTCTTTATTCTCTATTTTCACCTGGGGATACTCATCCCGAGGTCCTCAGATTATGCGGAGTCACTGATTGGATCCAAGACCAGCGACGTGATGATCCCAAGGATTCCATATCCGGGACCAGGCCATATCCTGAGCTGCTGCTGCGCTGATGGTCGTGGGGAGTGGAGAACATGAGTCTGATTCCAGCGACGTCCCAGGGACAGACGAGTCTTCGCTGAGGCCATCTTCCAGCCTCAACCACGGCGAATGAAGCTCTGCACAAGACTTTTGGCCAGCGGAGAAATTAAAATGGTCGTGCCCAACTGAGTCTGGTTCCCTCAAGGTTTTTTTTCTTCACTCCCATCAGGTGAAGTTTTTTTTCCCTCTCCGCTGTCGCCACTGCCTCGCATTGTTCAGGATTGGTAGAGCTACGCATCGATGAATTGGCTCTTCAGTGTTTGAACTCTCAGTAATGATTAAATCACACTGAACTGAGCTAAACTGAACTGAACTGAACTTAAACACTAAAACCTGAACCACACTGTTCTAGTTACTATGACCATTTTTGTGAAGCTGCTTTGACACAATCTACATTGTAAAAGTGCTATACAAATAAAGCTGAATTGAATTGAATTGAATTGAATTGACACATTGACGACAGAATTTCAGAGATTTTCATTTTTCTAAACATAATAAAATGCTTTCCATGAGGTTCATAAAACAGAAAAGAAGTTTTCTGAGGTGCATATAAACTTTACATTCTTTTGCTTTTACCTAGAAAATCTGATAAAAATCAGTCAACGGGCTTTCATCAACCTAGGATGTCAGGAAAGGCCTCATTCAAAAAAAAAACATTCCGGCCACTTTATTAGGTACACCTGTCCAACTGGTAACACAAATGTCTAATCAGCCAATCATATTGGCAGCAACTCAATGCATTTAGGCATGTAGATAAGGTCAAGATGTTCTGCTTAACTGTTCAGGCTGCTGCTGGTGGTGTAATAGTGTGGGGGATATTTTCTTGGCACACTTTGGACCCATTAGTACCAACTGAGCATCATGTCAACACAACAGCCTGCCTAAGTATTGTTGCTGACCATGTCCATCCCTTTATGACCACAGTGTACCCATCTTCTGATGGCTTCTTCCAGCAAGATAACGTACCATGTTATAGAGTGCAAATTATCTCAGACTAGTTTCTTGAACGTGATAGTGAGTTCCCTGTAAATGGCCTCCACAGTCACAAGATTCCCAATCCAATAGAGCACCTTTGCGATGAGGTGAAACAGGAGATTTGCATCGTGGATGTGAAGCCGACAAATCAATATGAAGCAAAATCTCTGAGGAACATTTCCAGTACCTTGTTGAATCTATGCCACAAGGGATTAAGGCAGTTCTAACCTAATAAAGTGGCCTGTGAGTGTGTATTACTGCATGATGTAAACATTGCCAATAAAAATCCAATTAATTCATAGAGATTCTTACCTACAACCACTTTAAATTATATTTCCCTATTGCACTTTTACCTATATGTTTGTACTTGGGGCAGCACGGTGGCCCAGTGGATAGCACAATCGCCTCACAGAAAGAAGATCGCTTGTTCGAGCCTCGGCTGGGTCAGTTGGCGTTTTTTTTTTATTGGACTTTGTATGTTCTCCCCGTGCTCTTGTTTCCCCCACAAGTCCAAAGACATGTGCTACAGGTGAATTGGGTAAGCTAAATTGGCTGTAGTGTATGAGTGTAAATGAGTGTGTATGGATGTTTTCCAGTGATGGGTTGCAGCTGTAAGGGCATCTGCTGCGTAAAAAACATATTCTGGATAAGTTGGCAGTTCATTCCGCTGTGGCAACCCCAGATTAATAAAGGGAATAAGCCAAATAAAATTGACTTTACTTAAGTCTATTCATTTTTAGTCCAAGAAAAATAAGACAGAAATGAAAACAAACTTCTGACTGTAAGGATGGCAATATTGGTGCATTTCTGAATCCCAGATACAAAAACAGGTATAAAGTTAGACCATTTCAATGTATTTCATAACCGTAACAAGAGGCAATTCAATCATAACTTAATGTTAAAACAGCTATCATAGCATTATTTATTAATATATGTGGGGTTTCTTGGATTCTCGGAAGATATGGAAATTAAAAATGTAAAACAGGACATAAGCTGGGACCATTGTTTTTGTTTACATCCCTCAAAATGGTCCATAAAACAGACGCCCGTTGCCATAGCAACCGCTCTAGCTAGGTGATTCCAGAGCCAGGGTGGTTGCAATAGAAATGGCTGTACCCAGTCAGTAGGCAGAGGCTGCCATGGCAACGGTTGCTACAGTGTGAGGATACAAAAAGAGGACCAACACGACAAAGGTATCACAAACAAACTATTCATCTTCCAATGTGACTGTCAAACATGTACAAACATGCGCTGGTCTAACGAGTCAACAAATACTGCGACTGTCGGGTCAGACAGTTCGCTGGCTGCGGAAATACAGCCTGACGTGCTGTGATTGTGCATGCAAAACGCTTCATAAAGCCTCACATTTACCGTTTTCATGCAATGCAATGTTTAGCAGCTCACCTGCTGCGTGTTGGATTCCTCAGCTTGACATTTGATCCTCATCTTTGATATTAGGCCTCATTGTTTCTTCTTTTTTTTCTTAAAAACGTTCCTCTGTAAAAAAAAAATGTCGCTTTACTTAAGATAACGATCTCGCAGGTGTCTAGTAATATTAGACACAGTCCAACGCGGTGTGAGCATCATCGTTGCACATTAACATTCTGCAAGGACAGCGAACAGAAATATGAGTGAGACCTGGAGAGGAATGTAGGACATCAAAAGGGGACCATTTCCTGGGTGTGAGGTCGAGCGCTCATTGGCCAGACGCGGGTCACGTGACGCGTAAATCTGACTGTTTTGAGTCACGGAGCTGCGACACAGTTTATGTGAACGTTACTTTCGCCTACTCTGATTTAGTAGACATTTTACATTAAGAAATGCTAATATATTAAGTGAAACATTTACAGCGTTTCTATTGGAAAAGCACATTTTTATACAATTTATATTAAGGTTTTTGTACTTTATCGTGTCTGGATTAACAGGAAAATGATGGAAGCGCTTCTACCTGCATACGTTTTCATGTCACACGTGATGCGCGTTTAAAATAATAATAATCTATTTATTTGTCTGTCTATCTATCATAACATTTAGTAAATGTACACTATCTGACAAAAGTCTTGTCTCATTTCCCAGTTGTAAGAGCAACAAATAATAACTTGACTTCTAGTTGATAATTTGGAAAAGTGGCAGAAGATGTATTTTTCAGATGAATCATCTGTTAAACTGCATCCCAATCATCACAAATACTGATTCTTAGAGAAATCAGTCAAGTTTAGTGAAGGAAAAATCATGGTTTGGGGTTTCATTAAGTATGGGGGAGTGTGAGAGGCAACATCATGGGCAACTGCCCATTACATTTTAAAGCACAGGAGAGGGCAAAGTCTTCAGCTGTATAGCGCTCCTTCCCATACTTCAGCCTCCACATCAAAGTTCCTGAAAGCAAAGAAGGTCAAGGTGCTCCAGGATTGCCCAAAACCAGTCACCGGATATGAACATTGAGCATGTCTGGGGTAAGATGCAGGAGACATTGAAGATGAATCCAAAGAGTCTTGATGAACTCTGAGAGTCCTGCAAGAACGCTTTCTTTGCCATTCCAGATGACTTTATTAATAAGTTATTTGAAACATTGCAGAGATGTATGGCTGCAGTCCTCCAAGCTCATGGGAGTCATATACATTATTATTTATTTTCCCACTGCACCATGAATATATTATACACTGAACATTATTTCTGTTAAGTGACAAGATTTTGTCTAAGCAAAGCCAAAGCTTACTGTCCTAATTAAATAATTAAAAATCAAGAAATTATCTTATTTTATTTTGGTAAAATAAGCGTAATCTAGAGGCCTTTGCCTTTCATATAAGCCACTTCTGATACCAAATGATCAACTAAATGTCAGGTTATTATTCGTTGTTCCTAAAACTTGGATAGGCGACAAGAATTTTGTCTGGTAGTGTAAATGTTCATATTTTTTTACAAAATAAAATCTATAAAATTAGGGGAGACATTCATAATTACACAAAATATTTATAAATGTATTGTATGGCCTCCTTGGTATGTATATGTTATACTTAAAAATGTATTTAATCTGTATACAATTTTGGTGTCCGTTTCAAATAAAATGTATATTCATAAAACTTAAATTCCACAACATGTTTAATAAAACAAGTGTTCCTGCTTCTAAAATCCAGCAGTTGAAAAAATAGAGGCAAAGTAAAGATTCTGACAAATAATTCATATTTTTATTGTTGCAAAATGATCCTTAAGGAGCATGATGAATTGATGTTTTCTTTTTATATTATTTAACTAATTTCTAATAACTGATTTATTTTATCTTTGCCATGATGACATTAAATAATATTTTACTAGACATTTTTCAAGACACTTCTATACAGCTTAAAGTGACATTTAAAGGCTTAAATAGCTTAATTAGGCAGATTTGGGTAATTAGGCAAGTTATAACAATGATTTGTTCTGTAGAATATTGAAAAAATTGCTTCAAGGGGCTAATAATATAGACCTTAAAAAGGTTTTTTTTTAAATTTAAAACTGCTTTTATTCATGCCAAAATAGAACAAATAAGAAAAAATATTATCAGACATACTGTGAAAATTTCCTTGCGCTGTTAAACATAATTTGGAAAAAAATTAAAAAAGAAAAAACAAATAAAAGGGGGCCAATAATTCTAACTTCAACTGTAGATATACACACAAAACTAAAGGGGCCAAAAAACAAACTAGATTGAGGGCTGTGAGCCAAAGTTAAATATACCAAATTAAAAGTGTCATGGGTAATTTCCTAAATATTGTGCTATTATTTCAGTATTATTTTTTTTTACATTTTATACTAAACTTATCATAGTAAAAACATAATTCCATTTATAACACAATGGAGCTGAATGCTGAATACACTCATCGAGCTGCTCCTGCCTTTGCCTTAATTTGCTCACTGATGTCTTGTGCATTGTCCTCTTTCAGTCAAGTTTACAGACAGAAAGTTTACAGATTTACATTTTAAAGTCTGAATCATTTACAACATTTAAATGAAACAATTCATTTTAGTTGTTTTTTTTGTAGCTCCTCAGTTAAACAAAGAAACAAAAGGTTATGTTAAATTCGAAATGACGATCTCTGTCAAAGGCATTCACCTTAAACAACTTCCTATCATTCTCCCACTCATTTCAGATATGATGCGAACCAAATCAAAGGTTACCATGGGTCAGCTTTGGCCCGCGGGCCCTACTTTGAGCACCTCTGATATACACACACACACACACACACAAATATTAAAACAAAACATTGAACTTTCCTGCATTAAACAACTGTCACTGCGTCATTGACTTTCCAAATGCATCATCAACAAAAAGTCTGAGATGAATCACACACATTCTTTAACAGAATATTATTTATTCAAAATGTAAACACAACATGACTACCTCTGATTACACGTCCTTCTAAAGAAAAGGATATCGATCAACAGTGTTCATGGAGGTGCTGAAAAAGATACGACTGCTAGTATCCGGGACATCAGAACAGTTGAATTGAAGGGGGAAACCAGAACAAACTGGCACAATGAGAGTAAAAATTCACTCAGAGTCAAAACCAGCAGCCAGCGACACAACCGTTCTGACCCAGAAAGAGATGTCTTGGGGTGCATTCGGATCTCCGCGAACTAGACTTTGACTTCAAAGTCTTTGTTGTGAATAAATTGTGCAGCTCAAAGTACTTGTCCTAACGAACACAACCAGAGATCTTACAGTACAACAGGAATCGTAAGAACTGAATGCATATCTGCCCACCTATGTTCTTAATAAGAATTTCAATTTATTAAAGAATTATTGCATAAATCACAACCCTCGGAAACAAAAAGAAGTGCTGTGTATCGTGAAAGCCAAGTAGTGCTGCTGACAATCCTACATATTGCACGAAAAGACAATTTATAGTGTTACATGGCCGAAAAAACGAAAAAGAATGAGTTCATATGCTTTTCTTCTGACCAACAGTGACCTGCTCTGAAAGAAAGTTAATGTACACTTGGAGCGCCGCATCACAGACAAACAAAAGACAAATAATTCATTTCACACTGCTGCTTTCCTGGCCTAATAGCTTGTTACGGCTGGCGTAGCGCAAGCGAGCACAAATGCATTTAAGAGGAAATTTTCCATCGGTAAAGCACGTTTACAGTCGAGCCAAGTCCAGGAAATAAAATACTCTGGGATTATCGTCACAGCAATAAATGATGTGACAAACATCAGCATCTTTTCTTGTTTGTTTTTGTCTCTAAGGAATGATTGGACTATTTTCCTCTTGCAATCTTTTGCATAAAAACTCTGTATCCAGATTTTAAAATCCTAAAGATCAACCAGAAACTGAAGCCAATCAACAAACGCTAATTCGGGCTCAAAAAAAAAAAAAAAAAAAAAAACAAACAAAACTAAACAAAAGATAAAACAAAAGAAAACAAAAGGCAAAACAAGACTAAACAAATACAACAAAAGAGAGCAAAACCATAAAACAAAACAAATAAACAACAACAAATACAAATATATAACAAAACTAAAGAAAAAACAAAACACTAATCAAAACAAAAAACAACACAACAAATAAAAAACAAAGACAAAACAAACAAAAGATAAATCAAAACATGACAAAACAATCAGAACAAAAGAAAACAAACCAAAAAACAAAATGAACAAAAAACCAAAAGAAAACAAACAAATAAACAAAACAAAAAAACAAATCAAAACACAAAACAATTGATAAAACAAGAACAAAAACACAAAACAAGACAAAACAAATAGAACAAGAAAATAAGTCATAAAACAAAACAAATCATAATAAAACAAGACAAAAACAAAACAAGACAAAACACAAACAAAACAAACAGAACAAACCATAAAAGAAAAGAAAGTAAATAAACAAAAAAGACTAAATCAAAAGACAAAACAACAAATAAAACAAGAACAAGACAAAAACAAAAAACAAAAAAAAAACATTAAACATAAACGAATCAAAAAACAAATAAACAAAACAAGACAAAACACAACAAACTAAACAAAAAATAAACCATTAAAAACGAACCAAAAAACAATAAACAAAGATAACAAAAGACAAAAAACAAAAACAAATGGAAAAACAAAACAAAAGAAAACAAAACAAATAGAACAAAAGAAAGCAACTCAAAACAACAGAACATAAGACAAACAAAAACTCAAAAACAAAACAAATAAAAAAGCCCTCTCCAATTAAATTCACGGTCACATGAAGCTGGCTTCCTTTGGGAATTGGGCAAGGTCGAAACAAAATTTGTTTTTAAAAAAATTTCCCTACACGTTAATAAAGCCATCGTTTCACGTGACACTTGACCTTCGAGTTATGCGAGATCCGGTTTAGCCACCACTGTGGAGGAAATCACCAAGCTCTCAATTTCATTAATGGGACACTGCTTCATTTTTATTTGGTTGTGAGAAAACCCCTTTTTTGATTTCTCGCTACCTATTTTGGTCGTGAGAACAGCACCAGCCTGTTGTCCCGCCCGTCGGTCGGTCTCTCTCATTGGCCGGATCATTCCTGAGCGATGCTCCGCAGAACGTACTTGACCGTGTAGGCGAATGCAGCGAAGCCTACGATGACGAACAAATTAGCAAGCGCTCCACCCAGGAGTCCATGGTTTCGGTTGACCTGCTGGAGGTCAGCGGGATGGTTTGCGCCAGGCGGCAGGTGCCCGTTCAGGGGCAGGTGGCCGTTTTGTGCATGATGGGCTTCACCGTCCGGAACCACGTCGGGAAGCGGCAGCGCCTGCGAGCGTGACCTGAGCTCCTCCTGCATACGCTGCTTCTGCTTGATTTCCTGTTTGAATAGATTAATATGTTGGTTAATAAAGCGCTTATTGCTCATGCAAACATCCGTGATGATACTTACTTCAACAACATCTGGAAAGAGTTCGCAAAAAACTTTGTCCTTGATGTTGAATGCAAGACTCTGGGAGGCCAGCTGTCGTTTCTGCAGGGACACATTCAGAGAAAACACGCTGTTAAAATTCATCCCATTTATATTCTTCTTTGTACACTTTAAAATAGGGTTCCACTTTACACTTTAAGCTAAATATCAAACTCCCGGTCTTTTCCCTGACTATCACAGACTAAAAAGCTGTATTTTTAAAGAAAATAAAAGTAAATAAGGAATTTATTTTTAAAATTTAAAATTGTATTATTTATATATTTATGTTTATCATTATTTATTATATTATTTTATTACATTATTAATATAACATAATTTATTTATATAGTATATTATTATTATTTCATTATACATATTGTTTATTAATATTATTTATAATATACATTTATGTAAAATATTTCTTTAGTTATTTTATTACTTTATTTAAAAAAATGTCAAATAAAATTAAATTATAAAAATATTTAAAAAGGAAATAAAACAGGCTGCTGATGATGTGCTTATAATAACAATATAATATTGAGGGGTTTTGCAGGTTTTACCAAGTTATATTTAAGACTTTTTGACATTGAGTCTATTATGAACAAAATTTTACACTCATACAGAGTTAAACACTGAATTTTTCGAATGGTCCAGATGGTAAAGCTTTTTACTTGCCCTATCAAAAAAGATCTTTTAAAAATAATAAAAAAATATATATATTTTTTGCTATTTCTTAGTAAAACATTTTAAATATTGTGTCAAAACAAGCAAGCTCTAGTTGAAAACATAGACTTTCAGCATAATCTGTCTTTAAAATAAAAATAAAAATTGACCAATGTTTTTAAAGTTTGAAAAAAACTATAATAAACTGTAATTATGCACAACAGTCTGTCCAGATCAGTGTCCTTAGCAGTAAATACATTGAGATGGATTGCTGGTGATATGGGTGGTTCTGGCCAGATTGGGTATCTATACAAGAACAAAGAAAAAATAAAAACTGTTTAAAAAAGATTTAAGACCTAAAACACTACATTTTAGTACATTTAAGACTTTTTAAGGTCTAAAATTCAGTTTTTGAGATTTAATGTAACATCTGGGTGTCCACTGGGTCTTAAAATATCTTAATATGGTAAAATAATCAAACAAAAACAGTAAAATGGTTTTTAGCTTGAATAACATTTGGAATACTTATTAATAGCCAGTATTTGAACATGGAATAATTTACCTCAGATTTTGAAAACAAATCATATTTGATAGCTCAACAGTAGCTCAAAACATTCTAGAAAAATTACATTGATGAAAAGTAAAGTTGAAAACAAAAATCCCTAATATTTCACAACTTTCAAGTAAATATATTTTTTAAAATCCCTGACTTTCTTAAAATTACTAGATTATTTTCCAGAAATACCTGACCTATGGGAACCATGTGAAGAACTCTTTCAAAACAAAATAAAAATGTTGCTGTGTTGAAAACTACATTAAAAACAGGAATATTGTGAAATATCACTACAATTTAAAATAGCTACAACATTTAGAATGGATTGTAAAATTATTGTTATTTACTCCGGTGTTGGCAAAGATGCATTTCCAGCATAAATTCTCCACTCAGTGTCGCATGATCTGTCAGAAATCATTCTAACATACTTTGTGGTGATTTGGTTGACTTGTTGCTAAAAGAAGCATTTATCATCAATTTATATTTATGTTTTGGATGTTTTTTCATGGAAATAAGTATAATATGTTAATTTTACTCAAACTAATGCACAATCACTGCGTTAATGTATTAATTGCTTTTAAAAAGTCATTAGCTGTGTTCTTCATAATGCTTGAATCTAAATACACATATCAATCTAATCTATGCCTTTGATATGATTTGATGTAAAAAAAACACTCATCATTTGTAATAAAAGGGCTATTTAAAGTGTATAGTTAAAAAATAATAATAATTTAGAAATTATGACTGAAATTTGTGAGCAAACTGAAAACTATTTAAAGTACAATTTAAAAAACTATTTAAATGTAATATTAGTAATTAATATTAGTAACTAATTTAATATAGCTTGGCTATAAATGAATAATTATTACAATTTTACTGGCATTTTAAAAAATAGATGACAGAAGAGAAAAAACAAGAAAAGAAAACTATTGAAATAGCACTTATGTACTATAAAAAATAAATAAAGTAGTAACAAAAAATATATTTATTCAACTGTTAAATGTATTCATATATTTATACAACTGTTAAATACAATAATATATTTCCACAACTTTTAAAAATGATTAAATTAAATAAAGACTTTACACTGAGGTGGCTCAGTTTAAAGTCAGCATGAACCAGAAATGCTGAGATGTCTTATTTCAGTATGTTGATGTACTTCCAGCAGAAACTAAATATTGAATAGGGGCGGGGCTAATAGCCCTAATAGCAAACTATCAATAAGAGGGGCGTGGTTATTAAACTTTTTCTCTTTTCTAAAGTATCAAACTGATGCCAACAGAGAAGAATCGCCACTTCAAACACAATGGACTCTATTTTAACGATCTAGACGCAAAGTCCAAAACGCAGGGCACAACAGAATTAAGGGCATGTCTGAATCTACTTTTGCTATTTTAAGGACAGAAAAATCCGCTTTGTTGTGCGGCGCATTGTCTAACAGGGTTGAGCTTATTCTCTTAATAGTTGTGTTTTGAGAATAAACCAATCCCATAAACCAGTCTCATCTCCCATTCCCTTTAGAAGTCAGTTGTGTTGCACCATAGCACATTCGCTATTTACATGGCGGACTTTGTTAGTGGAAAAACTGAGCACTTTACTAGCGAGAAAACAGTTAAACAGAGCATCTACAGCGCGAGGTTAAACGAATGAACCTCTTCATTCTTTACTTTCACTTTCTCTCTTTCGTGGATAAGAAAACGTGTTGTACGCACACACATCCATAAGCCTACACAATTAATTTAGTTCATTAAGTGCAAATATTTGTTTCAATACTATTTCTAAATTTAGTTCTAATTTCCAGCAATAAATGAACAAAAATAGCAAAGTTATATCCAAATACACATGCTGTGGCCCATATGGTCTAAAACCTGACAGGTGAACAAATCTAAGCTTGTTTTTAAAAAACAAATATAAATATGCATATTATAAATAATACTGCTAGAAATAATAACATGACACAAAAGCAAATTGTCATGAATAAACTGAAAAAGCCCCCGCCGAGATGAAGATGGCATGGAGGCAGTGGTTTTTATATTTATGAAGAAAATAATAATTGTTTAAATATTTAAATCCTTTAATTCTTTTTCATTTGTAAAGATATTTCTGTATTGCTGTACATCCTGTGTGTATTAAGCTATGTGTAAGGGAGGCGCACAACTTACACACTCTGCACTGGACTTTGGACCTCCTCTCAGGTGGTCTACTGAACAGTCTATTTTAGTTCCTCAAAATAGCAATGTGCCAGCAATGCACCTTAACACACCTCCTTTTTTAGACCAGAACGCCTATGGGCGCACATATGAGCATAAATGCATTTGCTATTTAAACAGCGTGGTGCAAAACGCTAAAATTACACTTGCTTTGAGCTGAAACTAGCAAATAATATTTGCATCGCGCCTTGTGCCGGGTGTATGATAGGGCCCAAAAGAGCAAAAGGTCTGACAGAAGATTACCAAAACAACCTTTTTTTTTTTTTTTTTTTAAGTGGATTAACATGCACTGATTGATTGTTTGCCAAAAGAATAGTAATGTGCACTAGCAAAACAAACATAGTAAATTTCACACAGACTTTAAGCATTAAACTGTGATTTTAAACCCGTCACACTCACTGTGAAGTCAGAAGTTTCGATACTGCCAAGAGTCGGGCCTTTTTCCACCATGAAGCTCAGGAGGCCGGTTAAAATGGTGGACACAGACCACGCAGGGTTCCACGTGTCAGGGTGAAAATCTGTGATGGAAAGACACAACCTGAAAGAGAAAGATAGTTATTATGTAGAAACTGCAGTGTTCTTCTGAGCGTGCAAGACTTATCAAAGAGCTCTAGAAGTTGATTGGTTGAAACATTCACAAAATTCAAATTCAGCAACAGCTTTGACAAATGGCCTATTTGGATGGCAACATCTGTAGAAAAACAAATCTCCATAGTTCCATGGTGGTTAATCATGGTTTCAGATGAAGATACATTCAAAGTTTCTTTAAACATCAATATATGGAAGGATATTCCGGACAATTTTCATTCATACAGTCCTTTTCCTTCGGCTTAGTCTCTGATTTATCAGAGCTGGCCACACCAACACCAAGCGTTTTCAATCACGAGAGACTTATTTTAGATTTCAAATGCCAAAATACACATTAGTAGTAGGAGAACAACTCTTTAGAGTTCATGAAATACACCACAGTTGTTGGTGAAAGGGTAATAATCATATAAGCATGATCTGACAACGTACTTCATGCAGTATATACACATTGTGTGCATAATTAGACATTTTGATCTGTCCGTAACTTTACTTTTGCGCATGCGGGTCAGTTTAGGATCACACTGCTAATCAGATTATATGTAATCAAGTCGAGTTTATTGTCATCCTGCTAAATGCCTGAACATTCAACAGTACTGGAAACCGGTAACCATAGACTTCATTAGTATTTGTTTCTCCTACTATGAAAAGCAGTGGTTACCAGTTTTCGGCTTTTTCAAAATATCTTCTTTTGTGTAAAAGAAGCGTAAGGTGTTGCAACCCCTTGAGAGAGAGAGTAAATAATCTTTTGAGTGAACAATCTCTTTAAAGTTATTCACTGTATCCAGTGGCGGATTTAGCCATGGGCAATATGGGCGATCGTCCAGGGCGGTATTTTGCTGGGGGCGGCACGGGGAGAGGGCCCAAAAAAAAAAAAAAAAAACGTCCCTTCATGCGATTTACTTTATGCAGGTGTATTAATAGTAGAGTGGCAATTCCAGAATAAAGACATGGGCCATTCACATTGGGCATCTTTTAAACGCATTTGTTGTTCTCTATGTGCAACCAAAACAACCCTGGTAAAAAGCAAACTGACGAATGTGCACAGAAAACCATTCCTGCGTGCCTCACGTGCTCCTGTGTGAATCCCGGTTGTTTACATGCAAGCCGATAAAATATGCGCCACTCATGCGCGGTGAAACCGCAGCAACAGCCTTTTGTGCAGAGGTGTCTTTTGCAAGTCGACAAAACAAAAGTTTATGTAATATGATGATGATGATGATGATGATGTTACTTTCACTAAACCTGGCTACAAAGCAGAAAGGAGGCATAAGGAGTCAGGGAGGTAAGACTTCCTAACAGTAATTTTCGGCCATGAGTCTTGTCTAACACAACAGATAATTCTATAAAACATATTTATTTTTTGTATTCTATGGAATTGTCATAATTAATATTCACGCAAAAGATTTTTTAAGTGATCTTAGCATATTACTCCAGTTCTTACATTGTTTTCCAGTAACATTTAGGATTGATTTCTGTTACTTATTCAGAATTATAATTGTATAATAATATTAATAATAAAAATAATAGTTGTATTTATTTATTACAATATAAATAAATTGGGGCATTACGGTGGCGCAAAGGGTAGCTTGATCTCCTCACAGCAAGAAGGTCGCTGGTTCAAGCCCAGGCTGGGTCAGTTGGCATTTCTATATGGAGCTTGAATAAATTGTTATATTTATTGAAAAATGGGGGTGGGGGGAGGTGCAAATTTAAACTAGAACCGCTACTGACTCTATCAAATAAAGAACCGAAAGCTTCTAAACCAGAATCAAATCAGGACATATGAATCAAGCTCTATGTAGTGTCATGGCAGCTTATGAGTTTACTTAATAAAGCAATGATTTAATGAAAGTTTTTATTATACAGGAAACCTTCTCGATAGCAATCAGGCCCTGGCAGGTGTGTCACTGACAATGACAATCAGCTGAAACTATCCTGATAAATTCCTTTGTTAACAAAATTAAACATAAGACTTAATAAAGAGAGAATAGCAGTTGGTTTACCTCGTGTTGCATTTAAATCTGCCGTTGGGTGTGATCATGTATATGCTCGGCGGCTTGAAGGGAAATTCCCGTGGAAAAATGAGTTTGCCATGATAGTAACCACCTATGAAAGCAAAAGAGAAAATGAAATGAAGCCCACATTGAACAACTCAATTTTTTTTTAAGTAAAATTAAAAGAAATCACCTTCATATGGAGTTTTCTCAGGGCCACGAACTAGATAATGCCTGAAAGTGAAGCAAACCCAGAGGTGTTAACATAAGATATGATTATGACCTCTATTAAGACATAAATACTGTATAGTAAAATGTAGTAAGTGTATAACAAGTGATAAACCTCCTGTTAGATGCTTTGTAAATTTTCTCACATACAAAAAAAGCTGAAAGTGAATATGAATTGTCATCTAAGCTCCACAAACCACAAATTGGCATGATAAAAGGAGTTAAATTTCAGCCTGTTCCTCACATTCAATGTTAATTTGTACAACTTTGAAGGTCTCATGAAATTAAAATAAAGTTTTTTAGATGTTAGTATCAGTATTGTTAGTTTTTAAGTTTTTTGATGTTAGTATTAGTATTGATAGTTTTTTAAGATATGTATAAGCTAGTGTACAAGAAAACAATGACAATATACACTTTTAGAAGATATGAACCAGATATAAACATGTAAAGCTTGTAGTTTGTTACTTTCGCCTAAATGTGTAAATTAGAACTGCACAATATACTGAAAATTATAATTATTTAGTTAATAGTGTATGTAATATCCATATTGCAGAGAGATGTGATCATTTACATTTATTTTATGTTGCAAGCATAGGGTGATCATCCAAATCACATCTTTATACATTCACTGTGGCTATTATATAATGCTATTGTAAAATGTTTCCATATTGAGCCTGAATTGGACTTAAAAGGATAGCTCACCCACAAATGAAAATTCTGTAATCATATACCCTTTATATACCCATACACCATATACCCCCATCATACCCTTTACTTGTTTCTCTCTTCTGCTGAACACAAGAGAAGCTATTTTAAAGAATATTGGAAACTTGTAGCCATTGACTTCCACAGTATTTTTTTTTTTACTATGGAAATCAATGGTTACAGGTTTTCAGCTTTCTTCAAAAAAAATCTTTTTGTGTGTTGAACAGTTTTAGGAGTTTCTTTCTTCTGTTGAACACAAGAGAGGCTATTTTAAAGAATGTTGGACACCTGTAGCCATTGACTTCCATAGTATTTGTTTTTTCCTACTATGGAAGTCAATGGTTACCGGTTTTTCAGGATCAGAAAGAGCTTTATTGTCAGGTATGTTCTTAAATACGAGGAATTTGTTTCGGTGACAGATCTTCTACAGTGCAACAGAATTAAAGAGACAGGACAAAAAAACATATTTATTTATATATATATATTTTTTTTTTTTTTTTTTTTCTAACATTCTTCAAAAATATTTTGTTTCATTTTCTTTTTTTGGGTGAACTATCCCTTTAATTAGATCAGAAAATATATATTACCTATTTATATTTGTAAGATCATAACAAAACTTTTTTTTATTAGATAATAAAATAGCATTTGTGTAGGGAAATATATAAAGAAATATTGTTATCACATTACTAAATGACAACACTGTATATTTTCCACGTATTGTGCAGCCCTAGGGCGAAATCTAGGCACATATGATTTATGTATTGCTTGCTATTATATAACTTCCTTCCTTGGCACTGTATAAATTAAAGGCATTATTATTATTATTATAATTATAATTAATAATCTATGATAGTATTTTAAAAGACTTGTGATGTCAGTTTGAGAGCTCATCAGCATTTCTTTCTGTACACAATCATCGCATAAAGATTGATAGAATGAAGATAAAAATAAAGATTTAAGAGTGAAACTAGATCGAGTTCCTAATTTGAACCTCAATGCAGCAGCAAACAAAGTCAATAATAAACAAAATGTGTGTATATATTCATGATATTTTTATGTATATTTTTATGTACACTAAGGCTGGATTTATTTATGATTTACATGATCAAAACTCATTCTAATATTGTAATAATAATGATGATAATAATAATAATAATAATAATAATAATTATTATTATTATTTACCAACTTGTGGTCAAATATTAATTAATAAATATTTTTGGTGGAAACATTTTTCTTAATAGACTTTTTGTTATAACATCAGAAATGTCTGCGACTTTTAATCAATTGAATAAAGTGAATTCATTTCATGACATCTGATGACCTTACCCCAAACATCTGAATTGTAGTGCATTACAGTTTACAATAAAACATTAAGGGAAACAGCGGTTTTCAACATTTCTTGAACACCAAATCAGCATATATGAATAACTTCTGAAAGACCGTGTGACACCATGTGACACCATGGGACTGGAGTAATGATGCTGAAAACGTAGCATTGAATCAGAGGAATGAATTACATTTTAGATTATAAATACATATATAAAAAACAGATATTACAAATATTACAATTCATGCTGTACTTTAGATCAAACAAATGCAGCCTTTGTAAGCACTTTTGAAACAAAAAAAACCAAATGTTATTACTCAAAACTAGGGCTCCAGAATATATTGTTTCAGCATGGATATCGCAATGTACTGTGCATATCCACAGTAGTAACATCATAAGGATGTGCAATGTTGAGTTGGAATTATAGCTGACCAGGAGCCACAGTACTTCACACTGCAAAAATTCACACTGCTTTTCTTACTTAAAGAGTTATGTCTTGTTTTTAATCCAAATATTTAAAACTTCTTAAATCAAAAAGCATTTTCTAGACAAGTACAAAAAAAAGCATTTGATTTTCAGAAATAAGAGGGCAAATTAAGAGACATTTTCCTTAAAACAGGCTAAATTATTTGTTTTGTAAGTAAAATATTCTTATTTTAAACCAAAAATTAAATTATTTTACTCAACTCACTTTCAGTTTGAAAACAAAACAATATTATCTAGAAAATGCTTCATAATTAAAGAAAGAAATCGAAAAAAAAATTAAAAATTGGTGCAGATTTTTAGAGTCACTGCAAAATTGAAGAGAGTGAAAGTTAATCATTTGCATGTGTTTTACAGCCTGTGACTATTTCAATTAAATCATTCAGGCACAAAAAAATTATAATGTTTGGAGATGTAACAAAGATTAATTGTATTTATTTATACAATGTTATTTTACATTTGATTATTGCATTTTAGTACATGAAAATGCAAAAATCAAGCTATTCATGCAAATATATTCATATATATATATATATATATATATATATATATATATATATATATATATATATATATACATACATACAGTATGAAATTGTTAGCCCTCCTGTGAATTTTTTTTTTTTTTTTTTTTAAATATTTGCCAAATGAGGATTAACAGAGAAAAGAATTTTTCACAGTATTTCCGATAATACCTCTGTCCTGTGGTGTGCCTCAAGGTTCTGTCCTAGGCCCTCTTCTTTTTAATTTATATATGCTCCCTCTTAGCAAGATTATTAGTAGTTTTAAACATACATCTTACAATTGCTATGCAGATGATGTGCAATTATAATTTGCTTTTAGTCCTGACAGGCTGGACAAACGGTCTCTGTTGCAGGATTGTTTACTCTCCATTAACAAATGGATGGCAGACAATTTTCTCCAACTGAACCCTGATAAACAGAAATGTTGATTTTTGCTCCACATAGCATCACCCTAATGATCAGGCAAGTTTTTTGAGAGGGTGCTCGCTGCAGAGCCATTTGAGCAGAGCTGAGCTCCAGCGAGGGGGAGCATGAGCTCTCGCTCCTCCTCCTATAAGCTGTTTTAATGCGTACACCAACCCCACCCCTAACCCTACCCCCAGTGACATCAATCGTAGAAGAAGTGTAAAAAAGGTGGAGCTCAAGCTCCCCCTCGCTGGAGCTCAGCTCGCCCAAATGGCTCTGCAGCGAGCACCACTTGAGTTTTTTGGGGTTTGTCATCTTCAAATTGCAGTGATATTAGAAATTGAGTGTCATCTTTGATAGAGCTCTGTGTTTTAATAGCCATGTTAAGTCTGTTGTACGTACATGCTTTTTACATCTGAGGAACATAGCAAAAATCAGAGATATTGTTTTCAAAGATGCTTGTCCATGCCTTCATCTCTTCATGATTGGATTATTGTAATGTTCTGTTCACTTGTCTGGACAAATCTTCTATGGATTGCAAGTTGTACAGAATGCAGCGGCGAGGCTTTTAACCAACACCAGTAGGAGGTCACACATTACTCCTGTGCTTAAGGCACTTTACTGGCTTCCTATTAGTTTCAGAGTTAATTTTAAGATTCTTTTCATTACATATAGAGCTTTGCATGGTCAAGCACCGCTATATATTCAAGATCTTTTATGTAGTAACTCATGTAGCTGGTCTCTGACGTCTTTTGGCAAAGACCTTTTAGCCATTCCCAGAACTCATCATAAGACTAAGGGCCTACTCACACTATGCCCTCCGTACTGTGCCCAGGCCCGTTTCCCGGATCGTTTGAGAAGTGTGAGTGCGCTGAATCAGGCTCAAGCAAGGTTCGCTTGGCCGGCCCTGGCCCGGTTGGAAGAGGTGTGCCTAAGCGCGGTTCACTTGGGCTTTGGCGCGGTATGCTTGTGTGTGAGTGCAAAACGCGCCAAAGCCCGAAACTGAAAGCGAGACGTGACTTTTAAGGGACTGTTTCATATGGATTTATTAATCATTCTTACTGTTCAGTGAACGCAAACTGCCGTAGTTTATTAAAGACGAGAACTCCACAGCACGAAAGCTGCGCTGCTTCAGCAGACCTCCTCATTCCTGCAGCACGAGGGCTTTATGATTATGAGCGCCAAAAGTGGCGGATCTGTTCAGCGAAATATCTGACTGCGTGTCACCGCATCCCTAAGGACTGTTTGGCAAAATATTTGACAGCATGTCACTGAATATCAAACGACTGAAACGATATAACTAGAGAAATCTCTACTGTGCTGCTAAGAGCGCTTCTCACTGAACAGCGCGGCAGCGATGACGTAAGCGTGCCGAGGCCCATTTGTGGTATGGGTGCGGGCCGTCGGGGGAGACAGGAGGGGGGACAATCGTGCTTTGGCCCGGTTCGAGGCAACTGTACCTAGTGTGAGTACGGCCTAAAGGTGACTGCGCCTTCTGTGTGGTGGCCCCAAACCTTTGGATATAATAGCACTCTCTCCCTATAGACCTGTGAAATCTAGGATCAGTTTAACTTTTTAAAAAGCATTTAAAGACACATGGTTTTGGTCAAGCTTTTAATTAACAGCATTAGTGTTTCTGTATTTGGATTTTTAACTTGATTTAATACGTTTTAACATGTTTCTTTTATTGAAATGTGTTCTTTTACCTGTTTTCTCTTATTGTAAAGCACTTTGTGACTCAATGTCTTGGGAAAAGTGCTCTATAAATAAACCTTTACTTACTTAACTGTTTTTTTTCTAGAGAAAGTCTTATTTGTTTTATTTTGGCTAGAATAAAAGCAATTTAAATTTTTTTAAAAACACATTTTAAGGTCAATATCATTAGCCCTTTTAAGCAATACTGTTTTTTCCCATAGTCTACAGAACAAACCACTATAATACAATGATTTGCCTAATTACCCTAACTTGCCTAATTAACCTAGTTAAACCTTTAAATGTCATTTTAAGCTTAATACTAGTATCTTGAAATATATCTAGCAAAATATTGTTTACTGTCATCATGGGAAAGATAAAAGAAATCAGTTATTAGAAATGAGTTATTAAAACTATTATACTTAGAAAAATGTTCCTTTCCGTTAAACAAAACAAATGGGCAAAACATATACATGGGGGCTAATAATTCAGGAGGGATAATTATTCTGACTTCAATGTATATATGTATATATGAATAATCATAGATAAATATAATATCTCACTATCAGGTTTTTCCAAGATTGCACAGCCCTATTCAAAGCCTTTAGCTGATAGTGTATAAAATAATTAAAGTTTTGAAGGAAGTGTACCATTCCAAAATGTTGGAGGGCAGAGGTTCAGCACAGATATACGGGACTGGATCTTTCTTGATGCGCAGGTAATCCTGTTTTAGCCGCTGTGTTGCTGTGGTTGGGGCCCTCTTGTTTAAGTTGTTGCTCATCTGTGAAATCACACGGCACTCTCAGTTACACAATACAATCCAAACACTTCCTTAACATAAACTATATTTACAAAAACACATTAACCTGCACCCGAAGATGATTTTTGCTTCTTGCTCAAGACTACTTACATAATATGAGCTGAAACAACACAATTCTTGAAATTTTAGGCACAACTTAATTGTTCTGTATTCAATCCACTTATGTTTGTTAAGTTAACTGAATCGATTTGTGTTGATAGAGGTAAAGTTGGTTTTATATTCGCACATTCGTTCATTTAGAAGTCTCTATATTGTTTACCATGTTACTTTGAATATTTGGTCAGAATTAGCATGCGAGTAGGACTTCAAAACAAAATTAACACTATCTAATTGACTGAACAATGTTGTACTTTGATAGTCATTGGCTGCTAATATGATTTTACCATTTAGAATTTGTAAATAATACTTTTCTGAAATTATATCATTAAGGAGAATGTCAGAATATCTGAATATAAAACCAACTACACCTCTATTTTGAAGAATCATGAATGAATTGTGTGGAACTCTGCATGCATCAACAACGCCACTAAGATAATGTTTGTTGACATCAGATTGTTTAGATTACCATAAAGAAAGCAGCTTGTCATCTGTGTAGAGCCACAAAGTGAGATTACAGCAGTCTTACATTGCGTTCCCAATACAACTAACGTTAACTCTACACATTTGATTACACAACGGCAGACATTTAGGTATATGACCAGAACTGTTGTGCTTTTTATAACAGTACGGTGGCATACCATTTACAGAAGGGTTAGCATCCTACTAATCAGAAACTTTCACCAAAATAATAGAATAACAGTGACAACCTGGAGAAATAATGGTTAAATCACAACAACAGAAGTAACGTTAAACAGGGCGCTTAAACGGAGACGCTGACTGCGTTTCAAAACATTGTGAGCTGCCTATGTGGATATCAACATTTAGTGTAACGGGACGTCTACTTATACATTAAGTACATTACAACAGATGCTGTCTGGTAGGTAGTTTACTAGGCTTTAAAACACAACATGGACACAGAAGGGGGATTTTTGAAACGGCCTGGTCTCACCTCTTTCAACGCCCTCCACGGGATCGACCAGGGTCAGGTTCTGGTGATATATCGATATCCCTTTATTTTCGAGTGAACACGCCCTGGATAAACTTTCAAAAATAACAAAAATGTAGCTCTTCGGCTAAGGTGAAATTGTCATCTATCCCCCATGCCAATATGGCCACCGCAACACCAGGAAGTGATGATGTATAAAGGGAAAATAAAAGTTCACAATAGCGTTCGGCCGCTTTTCATAATAAAAGTCTCATTGAAACACGCATGAATAAAAGCTATTTAGGTGAAATGAAAATACTTCGACGAGATGTTTACAAGCTGGATTAGTTTATTAAGAAATGGTTGACATATGAAAAAAATATATTTTATTCAGCTCCGTCATCAGATTATTTATGATATATAAAATAAAATTCTGTTATTTAAATGAAACGCTATTTTTACATAAGGTATAGGCGAATTACCAGTATGTAAACATTCAGGATGCGCGTGCATCGAGGTTGCAGAAAAAACTGGGAGCGCTAGAATTTACAGCGAGGAAATGACATCCAATACCGTACAGTTTGTTGTTGTATTATAGATTAGTTATATTGATTACAGATTACATATACTATTTACATAATGCTTTCAGCATATTATAACAGCTTGTCACTCAGTGATAAGCACAGTTATTCAGCAAAGTTAACATTAAAGTGAGCGGCGTTCATCTGAGAAGTCCATTTGCATTAGCACCCTCACAATGGATATTGGATAAGACGAAATGGCCAAGCATACAGCCCGAAATATACAGTTATCTCATTGAAAGTCCAAGTGATTTTACAAGAGAGAAGTTAAAGGCCTACAAGTAATTGGATGCCTACAGTTGTGTTCTGTGTGGTCTTGTGCAAGAAATAATGTTCCATGGTTACCAGATTCAATTCAATTCAATTCAATTCAGCTTTATTTGTATAGCGCTTTTACAATGTAGATTGTGTCAAAGCAGCTTCACATAAATGGTCATAGTAATTGGAACAGTGTGGTTCAGGTTTTAGTGTTTAAGTTCAGTTCAGTTTAGCTCTGTTCAGTGTGATTTAATCATTACTGAGAGTTCAAACACTGAAGAGCAAATTCATCGATGCGTAGCTCTACCAATCCTGAACCATGCGAGGCAGTGGCGACAGCGGAGAGGGAAAAAAAAACTTCACCTGATGGGAGTGAAGAAAAAAAACCTTGAGAGAACCAGACTCAGTTGGGCACGACCATTTTAATTTCTCCGCTGGCCAAAAGTCTTGTGCAGAACTTCATTCACCGTGGTTTAGGCTGGAAGATGGCCTCAATGAAGACTCGTCTGTCCCTGGAGCGTCGCTGGAATCAGACTCATGTTCTCCACTCCCCACGACCATCAGCGCAGCAGCAGCTCAGGATATGGCCTGGTCCTGGATATGGAATCCTTGGGATCATCACGTCGCTGGTCTTGGATCCAATCAGTGACTCCGCCTAATCTGAGGACCTCGGGATGAGTATCCCCAGGTGAAAATAGAGAATAAAGAGAATAATTAGCGTAGCTGCTGTTCATAGTGTATATAAGCAAGATGTAGAAGCCAGTGTGGAACCTGCTAGGTGATGCACTGAGTGTATGCTTTACTAAACAGATAGGTCTTTAATCTAGTTTTGAATCTAGATTCAAAACTTTGTAGTGCTAAAAACCGAGGTTCTGCCTAGCCAAAGACAAGGAAAGAAGATGGTACTGTACAAGGCCTGCGTAATCATCAACAAGCGAAACAACTGCATTCTGACAGCTAACTGCACCTATACGACAGGGTATGTGAACTTGCATGTTTACATTTCATTCTAAGCATTCAGTGTCCGCAGTTTAATGAACCATATTTAACTGCTTTTGCTGAAATCATTGCTGCAATAAAAAATGAGTAATGTGCATGATTCAGCATAGTGTGAACTTCTGATATAAAATGACCACTGCAGAGTTGAGCATTTTTAATTAGGTCCTTACTCCATTCAGCTCTTCTGATGGCTGTAAGTCAAAGACGTCTGCAGTTTGCTATTGCAAACGATATGCGCGGTTAAACCCGTGTGACGTAGGTTCGTAATTCTCCTATCGTTTTAACTACACGTTGTCACATGAACAAGTAATCAGTAACTACAACCAAAGGCTATAAAGGGACTTTAAGCGACGTGTAACGTAATCTCTAAAGAACCAACTCATAAGAGTCACTCATTCAGATTGTTCTGGTCTCAAAGTATTCCTATGATTCATCAAGAAGAACCGGTTAATAAAGATAATTCTATCGATAATCTGACTTGGTTGGTGATTTATACGCTTATGATTCCCATCATAGAATTGACTCGTAAAATTTACAAGTCATTTGGGATTCAAACTACACTGCTCTCTTCGGGGACCAGTTCACCTCAGGTAATTCGCTCTGTAAACCGATCACTTATATGTCATGTGTGTCATTTATGATTCACTGTAAATAAAGGATATATTTGGTTCAAGATACTAACTCACAATTTATGTAATTTTTTATTAATCATTTTAAAAATAGGTGTCTAAGAGTTCGGAAACTGGACTAACATTTGTTTGCAACAATGCTTCATGTTATTCACTATAAAGAGTCGACTCATCTGATTCAGGAATAGTCAAATGTCAAAAGAGTAACCGTCTTGTCCAATAGATCATTTTAATAACTACTATGGAAAATAGCCTGTAACTACTTAGTTCAAAAGCATTCATATTTCTCCCATACCCTACCTTGCTTAGCATGTCTAGTATTTAGTATTTTCATTTATAACACTTCATTTTTTGCATCTCGTTTAAATACACGATGAACAGCAGCTCGCTAATTATTTTCTTTATTCTCTATTTTCACCTGTTGATACTCATCCTGAGGTCCCCAGAGATTATGCAGCGCCATTGATGCGATCCAAGATCTTTGAAAAAAATGATGCCAAGGCATCGATAATCCTGGACCAGGCCGTATCTAGAGCTGATGCTGTAGTGGTCATGGAGGAGTGGAGTGCATGAGATGGAACCCTGAAAGACCACAGTGCCAGACGTGACCTGCTCACACCTGCAGTTCTCCACGATGGACATCCAGCTTCTCCAGCACCTAGGCTGCAGCTCCACGCATGATGTTTGGCCAGAACATAAATGTTCGTGCCTAACAGAGCCTGGTTTCTCTCAGGTTTGTTTTCCCCTTCACTTTGTCAATTGGTGAAATTTTTTTCCTCGCCACTGTGAAATTTAAACCAGGCTGAACTCAACTAAACTAAACTTCAACTCTGAAATCTGGACTTTACTAGCTGCTTTGACACAATCTACATTGTAAAAGCGCTATAGAAATAAACATGAATTGAATGTCTAAATATCCCTCATACACCATCATTTTAATTCAATTATCTCATAAAAACACATTGCTTTGAGAGATATTTATTTCCCATAACAAAATGGTCCGCTCAACATGTTTGCATTTTTACAAAATACCATCATTTCATGATATATTATCAATTTGCATCTAAAAAGACAATATACAACATCTGCATTTGAATTCGCAGCGATTAATAGTGGCTGTACACAGATACAATTTACAGACTATATACCAGCATAGTCTATACCAAACACTAATTTCATCAACATGGTAACAATCACAATCACTCCAGACTCTCCAAACACAACAAATACTTACTCAAATCATAATAATCAGCGCCGGATATAGTTTATCAGAGCACAATAGTGATGCTAATAGTACTGAGTTGAAATGTAAAACAGAATATGATGTTTTAACAGATATTGTTCGTTTGTTTTGACGTAGTGCTTCGTTAAGTGCCTGTTCACTCCAAGTACAATAACAATAATTCACTTTCCTTCAGCTTAGTCTCTTATTTATTAAGGGTCGGCACCGTGGAATGAACCGCCAACTAATCCATCAGATGTTTTATGCAGTGGAGGCCCTTCCAGCTTCAACCCAGTACTGGGAAACACCCATACACTCTCACATTCACACTCATGCACAACAGCCAATTTAGTTTATTCAATTCATCTATAGCGCATGTCTTTGGACTGTGAGGGAAACCGGAGCACCCAGAGGAAACCCATGTGATTAGGTGGAGAACATGCAAACTTCACACGGAAACAACAACTGGTCCAGCCGAGACTCGAAACTGTGAACTTTTTGCTTTGAGGCGACAGTGCTTACCACTGAGCCACCGTAACGCCTAGTAACATTAATGATATGCACTACCTGACAAAAGTCTTGTCGTGGATCCCAGTTGTAAAAGCAACATCCCAATCATCTCAAATACGGCAGAAGACCTATTGGAACCCGCATGGACCCAAGATTCTCAGAGAAATTAGTCAAGTTTGGTGAAGGAAAAATCATGGTTTGGGGTTACATTCAGTATGAGAGAGATCTGCAGAGTGGATGGCAACATCAACAGCCTGAGGTATCAGACATTTGTGCTGCCCATTACATTACAAACCACAGGAGAGGGCAAATTCCTAAGCAGGATAGCGCTCCTTCTCATACTTCAGTCTCCACATCAAAGTTTCTGAAAGCAAAGAAGGTTAAGGTGCTCAAGAAATGGCCAGCCCAGTCACCAGAACTGAACATTATTGAGCATGTCTGGGGTAAGATGAAGGAGGAGGCATTGAAGATGATTCCAAAGAGTCTTGATGAACTCTGTGAGTCCTGCAAGAACACTTTCTTTGCCATTCCAAGTAGGGTACTTGGATAGGCGACAAGACTTTTGTCAGGTAGTGTAGTTTAAGAAAAACACTGTCAATTTAATTGAATAGAAGAGACCACATAACAACTATAACAAAAACAAAACAGAAGAATGTTATTTGTGCACTTTCAGAAAAATTTCATCCAGAATGAAATAAGCCAATCATAAGAATCCATCCAGATAAACGTTCGCATAACATAAACAGAATATTTTTGTGCATTATTGTGGATGGTAATAAAGTAATCTTTATACTGTTTCTTTATAGTTATTGTTCTTGGTGTGCATGTGCTTTTACTGTCTAACTAAAGCAGAAGACAAATAAAGAAAATAGACCAAACACTGCAGGGTTAAGTCCAGCTCACCCTCATAAAGCTATAAAAATATCATTAAAATACACAAAACATGACCACAATTTGCTGAATAAAGTCCATCACTCATTTGAAAACAGCCAGTCAAAGTGTCTTCTGCTCCAGCTGGATTGGTGTCCAAAAATTGGTGTCGATGGCTCGTTCACACTCTAGATGAAAAACAAAAAAGGACAAATAGATTTCATTTATGTAAACTTCTCTTATGTGAAAGACGAGACGTTTTATTATGTATAAATGTATGTATCATAGTATATTAAATTCAAGCGTCTGCCTTCATTTTATTTTATTCATTCATTCATTTTCTTTTCGGCTTAGTCCCTTTATTACTCAGGAGTCGCCACAGCGGAATTAACCACCAACTTATCCAGCATATGTTTTACACAGCGGTTGCCCTTCCAGTTGCAACCCATCACTGGGAAAAATACCATTCACTTTTGCATTCCCACTCATACACTATGGCCAATTTAGCTTATTCAATTAAACTATAGCACATGTCTGTGGACTGTGGGGGAAACCGGAGCACCCGGAGGAAACCCACTTTCACCTCATTTTATTTTATTTGATGTTGAAATATCTGTGTAATAACAATAAATATAAATGAATAACGGATAAATGATTGGCAACCCCTTCTTTAAATCATGCTAAAAAGAACAAACTTTATTAAATACTTTTGTTAGTCATTGAAAAAAAAAAAGTACAGGACACATTTTATTAAATGGGAAACAATGAAAAAAAATTGAATATTAATTATTAAACAGATTACAAGTAAAATGAAAAAAAAATATAGAAATATTTTACATATATCTGATAATAAGTAAATATCTATAAATGTATTTTAATAATATAAATACAAATAATAAAATGTGGGAGAAACTGAAGCACCCGGAGAAAACCCACACAAAGGGAGGGAGAACATGCAAACTTCACACAGAAACGCCAACTGAGCCGAGGTTCGAACCAGCGACCTTCTTGCTGTGAAGCGTCAGCACTACCTACTGCGCCACTGCCCCACCTAGTTCAGCCTTATAATGTTAAAATGTGAGCAAAATCACCTGTTTTGTCATCACTTTAGACATTACGCTAGAGAATCATTTAAATACTTCCTCTAAAGTGATGTTGGTGAAGTAACAACGATTTCTGCTGTTCTGACAGCTGTAGATGTGAATGAAAGGCGGAAGAAAGTAGTTCCTTGTACAAAAGGTTTTTAGACTCTGTGTGCGTGAGTTTCTTTTATATACACGATTGTGCCATCAAACTGTTGTATAAATGTAATATCACACGAGTAGCAGTGCGATATGGCTGTATATCATCACTGGTGGGACACTAAGGCACTTGGCCTGTGGTTTTGAGCCAATACATGCCGCCAACCAGTGTCGATATACAGACGTATTGCACTGCTACTCGAGTGATATTGCTCACGTCATTATAAAACATGTTAATATTTGTTAAATTTTAGTATTTTTTTCTAGTTTACAAATGGGTAAAATCTTGATGTTTAAAAGAAAGTGGCAAAATATAAAAGGAAAATGTATTAATTACACTTTTTTTTTTGCAGCTTCACTGTGATCATTAAATAGAGTCTTTTATTATGCTATCAAATGATCCTTGTTCTAAAAATAGCAGATAGAAATAGATAGATTAAATATTAAATACATTTTTGCTTATAAGAATGTTTTACTGAATTATATTTTAGCATTTCGTCTTCATGGTAAATGAAATATTTGATAGTCATTATCTTTTGCAAAGAAAAAAATTAAACAGCCTAATATATGGGGAAAAAAATTAAATAAATAAAATATAAAATGAAAAAAATATATATATTTTACATACAATATATCTGATAATACGTAAATAATTAATTAAACAAACAAATAAATAATTTAAATAATATAAATATAAATAATTGGTAACTACAATAAGGTTGTATTAGTTGATTTTTCTTTATTCATTTTCTTTTTGGCTTGGTCCCTTTATTAATCTGTGGTCGCCACAGTGGAATGAACCGCCAACTTATCCGACATGTGTTTTACGCAGCGGATGCCCTTTTAGCTGCAACCTATCACTGGGTAACATCTATACACTCTCATATGCACACACATACACTACGGACAGCTTCACCTATACAGCATGTCTTTGGACTGTGGGGGAATCCCAGAGGAAACCCATGCAAGCACAGGGAGAACATGCAAACTCCACACAGAAATGCCAACTGTCCCAGCCGAGGCTCGAACCAGCGACATTCTTGCTGTGAGGTGATCGTTCTACTCACTGTTCCACTGTGATGCCCTTAGTTAATGAATTTACTGACATAAACAAACAATGAACAATACATTTATTACAGCGTTTGTTCATGTTACTTAACATTAGTTAATGAAAATCAAGTTGTTTGTTGTTAGTTCATGTTAACTCTCGGTGCATTAACTAATGTTAACACGCATGAATTTGGATTTTAATAATGAATTAGTACATTTTGAACATATAAAAATGATACTTAAATAATATTTGATCTAGCAGACCTGAAGGAGTGACGGAAGTGAACACTTCTCCGCTTCAGCTTCTCCGGATTGTGGGATGCCATGTGGGAAAACTCTCGGAAAATATCCAGGTATGTGGTGTCACCTGAAATGGTAGCAAACACTGTAAATGTGACGATACAGAACTCCTAGCGTGCAGCTGTCAATAAAAATGGAGGAATTTACTTAGACTTGAAATGGATGGTAAAAACTTTTAAGTTTGTGTGAACCGGAAGTTGCTGAGACTTTTATTTTAGTATGCTGATGTTCTTCCAGCTGAAACTGAATATTGAGTAGGGGGCGGGGCTTTCTTTTTTGCACATCATTCCCTCATAGCAGACTAATGGTAAGAGGGGCGTGGCTAAGAATATTGTGGCTGAAGTGTCAAAGTGTCATCATCAGAGTAGATCCACCACTCCAAATGTGGAAGCAAATGGTCAGATTTGATTGAAGATTACCAGTGGTGTTAAAAAATCATTCTCAAGTAAAAGTACCATTACTTGCCTAAACATGCAGTGTAAATAGAGTAAAACTATCTGTTGTAAATATTATTCAAAGTATAAGTAAAAAGTAGTCCTTTCAAAAGTACTCAAGAGTAGTGAGTATTACGCTGTAAAAGGCTGATGCATTTACATGTCATTTGTGGATGTGTGTAAACGTAACATTCTGTAGTGCATTTAGTCATTGCCCAGCAGGCACACAATGTCATAATACTATAAGAATATTAGGTTAGATTAAGGTTGTGATGTCAGGTGACTAATATTTAGTGTCTATCCGCCCTCTAAGAACAAAGTATTTATGATGTTCAATTACAATGTTAATATTTGGTTGATTTTAGGTTGTGTTAGAAAGTGACCAAAATCTATTGTTGAGCCAACGTCACATTAACATTAAATATTGACATTTATTCATCAGGTTTGGCAACCAAAATCCAACATCTGATGGACGTCAAAGTTGTAACGTTCACACAACACCAAGCTGTAACATATTAGACGTTGATATTTGGTTGATTTTAGGTTGGATGTTGGACATTGAAGTCAGCCTGACGTTGAATTATGATGTCAACCTGATTTTCATTTCCAAACAAAATGCAACGTCCCTGCAACTTTGAGGTACAATGTCAATCTGACGTCATGTGGACGTCTTGTGACTGCTGTGTGTTTAGGGCCATTTCGGTCATCATACAGTAAACGTCCGTCATCTTCTCATCAGAAGGGCCAGACGAAATCTGCGGACATTTTTTGCTATTTCTGTGCAGAATTTTGTAAAAAAATCTGCAGATTTATGCGGAATGATTTTGGGAGTATCGTAACTAAAACGTAATATATGAAATAAAAAGTATTACCTTTTTAACTTGTATTTAATGTTTACAATGCAAATCCATCTAAATCCACTTTATTTGGTAAAAAATTAAGTCTCTCGTAAAATATGTCTACTAAAAGACATTGCATTACTTTACACACTGCATTGTGAAAAAATCAAATGAACACTTTAATAATAGTCAATAATATTACTGAAATCTATATTAAAACTGAAAATAAATTAACAAACATTTACACAAGTAAATAAACAGAATACATGATGGGCGAAAATTCTGCACAAATCTACGGCATTCTGCGCACGCAGATTCCGTGTGGGCATACAGTCTCTGGGTCAATGCCTGTAAAGATTTTAGACATCTTCTTGAACACTTTTAATGCTTCCAAACAGTTTGCTGCAGTCATAAAATCTTGAGGTGGCTCATTATGATGCGATTTACCTTCTATGTGTGATTTGATTGGACAGGAATCACAGAACTGATTTTTCTAATTCCCATAGACAAGAAAAAATTAAGTTGTGACTGCAGGTTGAAGAAGGTAGTGGAGTAAAAGTACAGATACAGCACTGAAAATGTACTCAAGTGAAAGTAAAAGTACACATCTTTAAAATTAAGTAAATTAATATACAATTTCTGAGAAAAACGACTGAATTACCAGCTTGATCTCACAAGAAAAAAAGTATTTTACGTTTTGCCAGTTTAGTGGCTAATTCGTACGAATTCATACAACTTCAGTCGTTGTACGATTTTAAAAAGGAGGCGTGGCACCTAACCCCACCCCTAAACCCAACCGTCATTGGGGGATGAGCAAATCGTACTAAATTGTACAAATTAGATCGTACAAATTCATACGAATTAGCCACTAAATCAAAAAGTTACGAATTGCGTGAGATTGTGTTGGAATTACAGTAATTTGAGTATTTGTAATTAGTTACTTTAAACCACTGAAGATTACCAAAACACTGTTTTGTTTTTTGTCAGTGGATTACGTTAGAATAACATTATGCGCTGGCAAAATAAACATTGTAAACTTTGATTTCACAAGAACCCCAAAACATTGGTTTTGTATTCAGTGGAGGTTTCAATTCAGTGTCTGATGCACTTTAGTGATTGAGGGCGTACTCACACTATGCTATCCGAACCGTGCCCAGGCCCAGGCCCGTTTCCCGGATCGTTTGAGAAGTGTGAGTGCTCTGAATCGCGCTCGGGTGCGATTCACTTGGCCGGCCCTGGCCCGGTTGGAGAAGGTGTGCCAGAGCGCGGTTCACAAGGGCTCAGGTGCGGTTTGTTTGTAATGTGAGTGCAAAGCGGGCCTGAGCCCGAAACTGAAAGCGAGACATCACTTTTAAGGGACTGTTTGATTTGGATTTATTAATCATTCTTACTGTTCAATGAACGCAAACTGTCATAGATTATTAAAGACTCAATCGCCTCACTGCACAACAGCTGCGCCTTCAGAAAACCTCCTCATACCTGCAGCACGAGGACTTTATGATTGTGTACGAGCGTCAAAAGTGGCGGATCTGTTCAACGAAATATTTAACTGCGTGACCACATCCCAAACGACTAAAACAATATAACTAAAGAAATCTACTGTGATGAGTGAGAGCAATTCTGAACTGCGCATCATCTATGACGTAAGCGTGAACTGAATGTAATGTGAGTGCGGGCCGTCGGGGGAGACGGGAGGGGGGACAAGTGTGCCTAGGCCCGGTTCAAGGCAACAGTACATAGTGTGAGTACGCCCTGAGTTAAAGCAGTGGTGTCAAATTCAGTTCCTGGGGGGCTGAAGCCCTGCACAGTTTAGTTCCATCCATGCTTCAGCATATTTATCTGTAGGTTTCAAACAAACCTGAAGGATTGAATTAGTTTGATCAGGTGTGTTATTTGAGTTGGAACTAAACTGTGCAGAGCTGCGGTCCTCCAGGAACTGAGTTTGACACCTGTGAGTTAAGGGGACAGAAACATGGCTCATGGAATTGAAGCAGATCTTTGTGCCTTTCAGGGTATTTCTACTGTCTGGTAACCATGACAACAGTTGGAACTTCGCAGGGGACAAAAGGGGTTGCTCTGAACGCTCTGCCAAACTGTGCGAGTTTCTCATGCCTGATTTACAATGAAGAGACTGTCCCGTCAGCCCGCAGGCACTCATGCAGAAGAGCCGTTTAAAGAGATATTCACTTTTACATGGAGATGTGTTTTGTGAAACAGCTGTACTTCTTTTGTCAACACTGTACATATATACATACAGTTGAAGTCAGAATTATTGGCCCCCCTGAATTATTAGTCCCCTGTTTGTTTATTTTTTTCCCAATTTCTGTTAAACAGAGAGGAGATGTTTATAATACATTTCTAAACATAATAGTTTTAATAACTCATTTCTAATGACTGATTTATTTTATCTTTGCCATGACGACAGTAAATAATATTTGATGATATTTTTCAAGACACTTCTATACAGCTTAAAAAGACATTTAAAGGCTTAACTAGATTAATTAGGTTAACTAGGCAGGTTAGGGTAATTAGGCAAGTTACTGTATAATGATGTTTTGTTCTGTAGACTATTGAAAAAATATAGCTTAAAGGGGCTAATAATATTGTCCTTAAAATGTCTTAAAATGTTTTTTTTTATTATTAAAAGCTCATTTTATTCTAGTCGAAATAAAACAAATAAGACTTTCTCCAGAAGAAATAATATTTTCAGACATACTGTGAAAAATTTCTTGCTCTGTTAAACATAATTTGGGAAATATTTAAAAAAGAAAAAAAAAATCAAAGGGGGGCATATATATATATATATATATATATATATATATATGTGAGTGTGTGTGTGTATCTATGTATGTATGCATGTATGCATGTATGTATATATATATATATATATATATATATATATATATATATATATGTATGTATGTATGTATGTGTGTGTGTGTATATATATATATATATATATATATATATATATATATATATATATATATATATATATATATATAAAAACATACATACATACATACAGCCTTGCTTTTGTAAAGTAGATTTTTTTTCTCTGATAAACAAGCTAATGTATTTTCTTTAGTATTCAACTTTAGTACTAACCTACGATAATTCTTTAAAAGGTGGATCTGAGTAAAAAGGTTATTTAGGTGGAATTTGAGTAAAAATAAATCTTTGAACAAACAAACAAATGCTTTAAAATAAAATATAATAATATAAATAGATGGGCAGCACGGTGGCTCAGTGGTTAGCACTGTTGCCTTACAGCAAGAAGGTCACTGGTTCGAGCCTCGGCTGGGTCAGTTGGCATTTCTTTGTGGAGTTGTTCTCCCCATGTTGTCAAATGTCAAAAGACATGCAGTACAGGTGAATTGGGTACGCTAAATTGTCTGTTGTGCATGGGTGTGAATGAGTGTGTATGGGTGTTTCCCAGTGATGGATTGCAGCTGGAAGGGCATCCGCTGCGTAAAACATATGCTAGAAAAGTTGACAGTACATTCCGCTGTGGCGACCCCTGATGAATTAAGGAAAAGGAAATGAAAGAATGAATGAAAAAAATATTTTTTGTTGGGTTGGGATGAATGAATTTGAAAAACACAAAATATTAAATAAAAGAAAAGATAACAAATAATAATAATAATAATAATAAATTATTATTTTTGCAAAAATAAAAATTGCAAATGTAATACTATTTGGGAAGCTGAATGTAAAAATGCATTTTAAAATAAAATAAACAGTATTATTGTAAGTAATATTGTTGTTATTCTTATATTAAAAGTAAAAATTCA